TCCAGCACCCTCATTCCCAAAGGAAAAGATTCAGGCAGACTCATGTCTTCTCCCTCAAGCTGAGACACCTGCTGATACCAGCATTCAGGCTGGTGGCATCTGCTTGCTGGGAAAACCGGTTTCAGCCCCAAAATGGGCCAGATGTACCACTTGTGACTCTTCCTCATGGATGGAAGGAAGAGAGGAATTGCTCCAACACTTCATGACCCTCCTGATTAAAAATAAATGCTGCATTTCCAATTTCTTTCCTTTTGCTGTTTGAGATCTGTTATCAGGCATCATCTCCCTGTGGGGATTAACACTTGTGTGTCTCACTTTTGCTGCTTGTCTCCACCACTGGCGACAGAGGAAAACCCCCCAACACCATCTTTCTCATTGCATCTCCACTGGGATAGAGCTGGGACCTCCCATACCTTGAACCGGTTACTGGTTATGCCTTTTTGTGGAAAAAAATCTCTGCTCAGCCTTCATGAGCAGCTTCCAGGGTGCTGGAGGTGGTGGGACCTTCCCCTGGTGAAATTTCCTCCGTGGTGTTTTTGGGAAGATGCTAGTTCTCTGCTCCATCCAGGTTGGACCTGTGGATGGAGCAGAGTTAAGACAATGGAGCTGGACACATAAAACATGGTACATATCTCTGCTGCATTGCTATGGGGGCTCCCAAATCAGTGTGAACCCTTCTTCCTCCTCCCAGCCCTCCCCTCCCTCTTCCCTGTGGAGAGGAGGCAGCTTTGGGGCTGATCGACTGCCCTTTGCCATTAGAAGTACAAGGTACCTTTGAATCAGAGGACATGAAGGCAGGTAAGGATGGAGTTTGTTCCCTGGCTGAGAAGGGAACAGCAGAGACGCAGAGATAACTGCTCCTTTGCATGCAAAGTGCTGCTCAGGAAAAGCTCAAGGCTCCCAGGAATTTCCTCAAGCCTGGCTGTACACTCCCTCTGATTTTTCACTCATGATTTTCCATGGGGGAAAGGAAAAAGGGAGATGGGAGCAGGCCCTATAGAACTGGGGGCCACCAGGTCCCACAAGCACTGGCAGCATGAGCCACAAGCCTCTGGGATTTTGGATGCTCCTAAACCTCTGCCCTAGCTGCAGGATGTGGGCTGGAGAGCTGGGATACACTCAGGGTTGGCAGTCACCTGTACATCCCCAGTGCTGGGAGAGCCAGCATCCCCAGCCTGCTCGACTTGGATTAAAAACATCCTGGGAACGAGGACTTCCCAGGAGAGCCCTTGAAATGAGGCTGTTCTCCACACACAGGGGTGTTTTGGGGTTGGCAGGGGGGGAGGAGCCCCTTGAGAACTCAAACGTGGGAATGGAGGGAGCAGGATCCTAATTCAGTGCAGCATTGCTGTCCCCTCCCGCTGGGGTTTGGGACATGAACGCCCTCCCGTGGCACCTGTCACACCAGCTCCGCCAGTGCCTGTGGCTGCTGGGCAGAGCGGAGCAACGAGGTTTACCCCCGATGGGACTTTTTTTGTGGGGAGGAACACGTGGGGAGGGGGATCTCTAGGAGGCTGACCACCCTGCAGAGTATCCCACATCCCTCACCATCCCCAGGAGCTCTGGGAGCCGCAGAACCAGCCAAACCTTGTTCCCTTTGGAGTTTTTTTCAGCTGGAAGATGAATTCCCCAGGGTGGAGTGGGCTGGGAGCTTTCACACTGACTTTGATATTTCCAGCCCCCACCTGCGGATTCTTTGCTGTCTCGTTCATCCAAGGCAGCGACCCTTCCCTTTCCCTGCCCACCACTTCTCATCCTGCCTGGGCTGCCAGAATCCCTCAAAGGCACCAAACCCACTGCCCCGCAGGGACTAAACCAGCCGGGGGATGCAGAGAAGAGGCAGAGACAGGACAGGCAATTGTCCGTCCTTCACTCAGTCGGGATTTCACCGTCGGCTCCTCCTCTGTTGCTTTTTTTTTTTGCCTTTCTTTTAGTTCCCCTTTTCCTACTGATTCCAACCGGCTGAAGGGCCCCCTCTCCTGGTGCAAGGCAGGGAGATGGCCATCGATGCCTCGCCTGCCGTGACCATATTCAATCCTTCCCTTTCAGCCAGGGAATCGCATCCTCAAACCAAGACCTGTCCCAGGAAAAATTCCTAATGGGGTATTGAAGCAGCTGTGCCCAGAGGATCCCCCTCTGTATCTCCTGCATGGACCAGCCTGAGCCGCATCACCGTATCATCCATCATCCTTCCAACCATCCCTGGGAATGCTGACAGTCTTGGGGCTTCAGGGGGAGAAAAAAACACCTATGGCAACTCTGAGTATCCATTGGTGTGCATTTGTTGGAGGATTTCCCTCTTCCTGATGGACTGGGAAAACCTGGTACCCACCAAGCTGGGTTCCTGCCTGATCTTTTCACCCAAGAGCTGAGACCCACCAGCCTTGTGCTGCTCCCCAGCCCCAGGGAGGGGGACTCCTGGCTCCACTGGTGCTGTGATGAGGATATTTCTGGAATTCTAGTTAACTGTCACACAAAACATCCTGTGGTCGTGCAGGGGAGTGTGGGAGTGTGTGCAAGGTCGGGTGGGCGCACTGATGCGTGCATGGATGGGTTTGGGCTTGCAAACACAAATGCATTTCTGGCGCACGGGCCGGTTTCAGTTCCTCCCAGCACAGCTCTGCTGAAGGCTGGGCAAGGATGAGCCCCTTCCACACCTCCCTGACACCAAACGAACCCACCAGACCCTGGGGGAAACTTGGGGCTGTGAAGGGATGCCTGAGTCCAGCAGCAGGTTCCTGGCTCTTTCCTGCACACTGTTGAAGCAAGGACGTGCTTCCTAAAAATGAGCTGAGCTTTGCAACCCACTCGTGCCCTTGGCTGCTGGGATCTCCCTGGTTCTGTACCCTTACTTTCTCTGTCCCCTGCAGTCCCTTTTTCCCCTTCAGATCCATCTCCATCACTCTTCCCAGTTCCCTCATTCCCTTTGGTGACATCTGCATCACGTCTTCCCAGTCCTCTCATCCCAGGGAGATCATCCTTCCCTCCCAGCCATCCAGGATCAGGGCTCCAAGCTTATTTTTTGAGTCCTCCCTCAGGAGATACATCCGTGGGGGTGTCACTCTCAGTGGCCACAGTCTCTTCCCATGCCATCGCATCCTGGTTGGGATGCTGAAGGACAGGGAGAAGCGAGGGCCAGACAAAAGCTGGCAGTAGGCCGGTACCCAGACTTCCTGCTTTGCTGTGTGTGATGGTGCCGGTGCTGCTGCTGGGGCAGGAAGTGACAAACAGCTCAGTGTCACCCCAGCGTTCCAGTGGGGAACACACCCGTGGGGCTGCACCCTTCCCACGGCAGGGAAGAGCCAGGGATGAGCCAATGCCTGACCACCCCAAGGCAGCAGCGTGGTGGATAAGGAAAAGCGATGGGACACCCAGAGGTTCTTTCCCCCCTCCCATTCTTCTCTCTGTCAGGTTCCCTTGCTGGAGCAGACCAAGGGATGTTTGCAGGCTGCAGTGCAGGGGATGCCATCTCTCCAACAGTCCTTGGAGACCCTGGGATGTGGTAGTGAGGAGTGGGAGATGATGGGGGACAATACAGCCCTGCTTTCTGCCACCTTGCTGCAGCCAGACCCCCACTCTCACCCCCATCATCATCATCATCATCATCATCATCATCATCATCATTTTTATTACTGTTGGTTGTTGTTGATATTATAGAACCATGAAACCAGAGAACCTGTTGGGTTGAAAGGGACCTTAAAGAACATCAAATAACTCTATTAATTCCATTAATTCTATTCTGTATTATCACGTCACATCATGTTGTTATATGACATTATGTTATGCTTTATGATATTTTTATGTGATGCCATGTAATATATTATTAGTTATTTGAGCAATTTATCATTATTTATTGCTTTATTATTGCTATTATTATTATTATTATCTTCTTGAGAACACAGTAAGAGAGTGGGTTGGGTTTCTTTTATTATATTAAAACTTATTATATTCCTAATATTATTGCATTATCTTGTAGAACCATAGAATAATAGATTGGTTTGGGTATTATATTATTCATACTATAGTATAGTATAATATAGTTATTATATTACAGTCAAATGTTTTATATTATTGTCACTTGACCATTTTATCGTTATTTATTGTTGGGTTTTAATGATTTTCACTATTTTATTGGCATTTTACATCATTTTGGTACTATTTTGTGCCCACATGAGCACACACTGAGCAGGCACCCCCGGCCCGGGCAGGGACCGAGGGGCCGGTCCCGGTGTCAGTGCGGGTGCGGTGCCGGTGTCACTCCCGGTGCTGGTGTGGGCCCCGCCACCGGACCCCGTGTGGGCTCCGCTGGCAGTCCCGCTGCCGGTGCCGCTCCCGCTCCCCGAGTCGTTGGCGCTCCCGGTGTGAATTCCGGGGCTGCTCCCGGTGCCGGTGGCGCTCCCGCTCCTGTTGCGCGTCCCGGTGCCGCTCCCGGTGCCGTCGCTGGTCCCGGTGCGGGTGCCGTTCCTGATGCCCGTGTGGGTCCCGCTGCCGGTCCCGGTGCCTGTAGGGGTACCGGTGCTGGTACCAGTGGCAGTGCCGCTGCCGGTGCAGGTCCTGTCGCCGGTGGCGGTGCGGATGGTGGTGGCACTCCCGGTGGCACTGCCGGTGTTACTCCCTCCCTCCCGGTGTCACTCTCTCCCTCTCAGTGGCATTGCCGGTGTCACTCCCTGTGTCACTCCCCCCCTCCCGGTGGCACTGCCGGTGTCACTCCCTGTGTCACTCCCCCCCTCCCGGTGGCAGTGCCGCCGACCGCCGGCAGGTGGCGCGCGCGCGCCGCCCGGTGCCCCCGCCCCGCTGCCGGCGCGGTGCGCCCCGCGCATGCGCGGTGCGGCTCGGGGCGCTCCGGTTCCGGGCGCCGCTCCTCCCTCCCTCCCTCCTCCCTCTGTCCGTCCGTCCGTCCGTCCGTCCGCCCCTCCGGCCCCGCCGCCCCGGAACCCCGCCCGCCCCGCAACCCTCCGCACCCGCGGCCCCCGCACCGCGCTGGGCCCCGCCGCGCTCCGGCGGCGGCGGCGGCGGCTCCGGCTTCCCCGCCCCTTCCGCCCCCTCCGCGCCCCCCCGCCGGCCCAGCCGAGCCCGGAGGCCCCGGTGGCGCCGCATGGAGCAGCCGGCGGCGGGCTGAGCCCCTGCCCGGAGGGAGGTGAGTGATGGGCGCACCGGGCCGGGGCAGCGGGGCGCGGACAATGGGGCGGGGGGGGCGCGGTCCGGCCCCGCCTGACCCCCGGTGACCCCGCGCGGCCGCTCCCGCCCCGCCGCGCTCCCCGGGGACGCCTCGCCCCGCTCCCTGTCCTGCGGGGAGAGACAGGCAAAGCAGAGACACAGAGACACCCCCGCAGCATCCCTTCCCACGGCGGGGGTGCCAGCGCGCCCCGAACGCGGCCGGGGGTACCAACTCCTCCTCCCTCTCCATCCCCATCCCATACAAAGGCCCTTGGGAGCGGGGGATTCGGGATGGGAGCAGCGACACGGGTGTCTCTGAAGGGGGGGCTGCCAGCCGCGTTCATTGTTGGTTTGATTTCTTTTAAAATTTGGGGATTTTTTTTTTTAATTTATTTTTTTTTTTGGACAGTGAGGCGGCGGCGGGTTATTTATAGCCACGGCTGTTGCTCGTTGGTTCAGCGAGCGAGAAAGGGGCTGTGCCGTTGGGGAAAAAAAAAAAAAGTCCCAAAGAAACCAAAATTCGAGGGGGAAAGTCCAAAAAAAAACCACCCCAAAAATTAAAGGTGTGAGGGCTGGGGAGCGGGAGGGGGATGGCAGCCTTCCTCCCGGGACAGGGGTTTATTCCCAATGGACCCACGCAAGAGCACGACCCCATCCTGGCAAGGAGAGAAGTGGCCAGAGAGGTTCATGGAGGGATGCAGAAGGTTTTGGGAGCATCCCTATCCCCTCTCATGGAGCATCAGTGGGATGGGAGTGATGAAACCCTCGCAAACCCCGGGAGTTTTGGGGTGCACTTTACCCTGCGACTGCTGCCTCCCCCCCACCTTTTCAGTTTCGGGTGACTGCCAAAAAAAAAAAACCTTCCATGCTCCTCTCCACGCCTTGTGCACGTCCTCAGGGATGCCCTGACACACTCCAGGACCTGGGAAGAGGATACTGGGGTGATTTGTGTAGGCGGAAAATCGCCCTGTTGAAGTTTTTGTAGGATAGAGGAGCACCAGGAAAACCTCTCTGCAATGGGAAGGCCAGGAGCAGCTTCTCTCCGGGCCTCCACCTGCCTCTGACTGTCCTCCAGGTCTGACCAGCAGCATCTTCTCTTTCTCTTCTAAAAGAATTTTAAAATCCCCGAAAAAGAAGGAAGACACCCTCCCCTTCTTCGCAGTGGGGCACCCAGTTGGGGCTGGTTTGGGGTAGCAGCTCTGAAACCCTCTTGAGCTCACGGGTGAGATGAAGGAGGAACGTTTTTCTTTCGATTAGAGTAATCGTGGGTGTTCATTGTAATAACAGGTGATAAGATCTTTCAGAGGCAGGGAGGATGTTGTCTGGTTTTGGGTTGGTTTTGGGGGGGGTAGTTAAGTTTAAAGAACTTCACTGGGAGATGTTTTGGTCTGGAGGAGATGGATGAGCAGAAGGGGGTAGATGCAGATGGTACCCTCGCAGATGTTTCCATAGGAAATGAAGGTTTCCTACCATTGACAACTAAACTTTATTTAAAATAGAGTCATCTTCGTGCTGGACAGGTGCTCCCTGTTCCCCCAGTCGGGTTTGAAACGGAAATACGGCTTCTTTCCCCCACCCTGTCCTATGGTGATGGTGCTCCTCAGGTGGGATTCACTCTGGGAGTCCCAGATTCCTCCCCCAACCTGCCGGTGGGTCGGCTCAGCACAATTTTGGCTGGTGGTTAACGACAGGAAAGGTTTCCCTGGCTCGTTTCCCTGGTGCCCTTTGGATTATCAGCATGGCAAAGGTATTCGTTGTACCTGCCCTTCCTACCTTTTCTGGCTCCTGGCTGCTGAGCCAGGCTTCCCGGAAGGAAATCCAGGGACAGGACTGTGAGGAAGGCGGTGGGGATGAACCTCAGGGTGCAGCGTTGGGATGAGGTCCATCACTGGGATTCCTGGACCGACTGGCTCAGAGGATGCTCAGGGGGAGAAAGAAGGGTCATGAATTTTGGCAGAGACTGGGTTCACCTGAGCACATCCCAAGCCCCAGTTCGGGAATGGGGAGCTTCCAGACAGAACAAACCCGTGCCTGGCGCGGCTGAAGGTAGCCAAACCCAGCACCTGCCTCTACCAAATCGGTCGAGCTGCTCTCTGGCTAATTTTTCTTAATTATTATTAATTTCTTTCGTGTGCTGCTGCACATCCTCCTTTAGGAAAGAACGTGCAATGCCCGTGTCTTCCTGGAAGGCAGAGATTACTGCTTTTAAGCCCCGGATCCACTCTGTCAGCATCACCGCATCCTTCTCCCGGCCCAGCATCCCACAGGGATGCAGGGCGGGCGGAAGCAGCCACGGGCACGAGGTCGGGGCCGGCGTGGGTGACGTGCACAGCAGGAACCGCTGGCTGTCACATGAGGCCACCACAGGCCTTCGGGGGGCCGGGTGGCAGCTGCCCCGGAGCTGGGGGCTCTCAGGGGGCATGTGGCTTCCTTCTCCTCCTGGGAAAGTCTCGGCTTTGAGGCAGAATTTAGGTAACAATGGGAAACAAACAAAATGAGGCTCGGGAGGAGGAAGGTCCGTGCCGGGGTGATGGGCGCTGGGGCTCTGGAAAGGGCAGCTCTTGGTGTTGTAACCCCTTCCCCCTTTAAAACTGAAAAGCAAATTTATTGTGTGTGTTTATAACAATGCCACAGCTCGGTGCCGTGAATATCCATGATCTGAGAAGATAAAAAGCTGGAACCGGCTGGAGCATGTTCTTGGTGGGGTTTGCTCGGCCACCTTCCTCTTTAGCAGGGAAAAAAATACTCTTTGCGAGGGCAAGCTATGAATTTTATATCCTCTCTGCTTTTATCAAATACAAAGGCTGGTGACATCCAGCGTGAGCTGAAAGACCAAACAACCAGCCTTGGGATTGGAAAGATCTGGCTCCTGTGCGGGGTGGAAAGTGGTTCTGGGATGGACCCCTGGGCATCCCTTCTAGGGGATGCTCCCTCATATCCTGACCTGGCTCCAGCCAGGGTTTTTCAGCTGGAGTAACACCTCAGGTGAAACCTCCATCCTGCTAACTTTTGGATATTTTGAAATAACGCCTGGACTGTGGGAAGCGCTGACTCAACACTTTGGGCACGAGCTGCTCCTTGAGCAACACCCACTTCTGCTCAGTGTCCCCACTGGACAGCCACTGGATGAGGAACAGGGCTGGTGGCCCCGGCAGTGGGGAATTCCCTTCGTGGGGATGCGGAGGCATCGCATCTTAAAGCAGCTCCTTCCAGACTTCAGCCAAATCCCTCCGTGGACTGAGAGAGTGTGGTGTATTCCCAGTTTTTCTTGTGCTGCATTTCAAACCGGTGGGTTCCCTATGCTGAAATTTTTGGTCCATCCAAATTCTAAACAGAAGTCAGCTTGGAAAGGCAGGGAGCTGGAGCTGGGGCCATTTCAGGGGGCTGCGCTCCCAGCTGGTACTCCCCAGCCCTGCGTCACCCAGCTCTTCCCTCACCTGTATCCTGGCTCCCCAGGCTCACAGGTGCCATCAGGTTGGGTTTGGGTGCCATCTCGAGAGGCTTTTCCTCATCAGCAGCCCCGGAGCTGGCTGGGAAGAAAACCCACCTGACTCTACAGTGATGGGCTCACTGGCAACCCCAGCGCTCAGGCCCCCAAAATCTACCCTTTGGGTGAGAATCCAAGGTTTGATTTCTCCCCTCTGATGCTGAAAATAAAGCGATTTGTGTCATGTGCCCGCCCTGGGGGAAGGTGAAGGAGCTGGTTGGTGGCAGCATGACGCCTTTTCCGGAAGGCTCTGGGCATGGCTGTGGTGGAAACAGGACCATGTTCTCGTCACGCTCTTCCTCCCCACAGTTCTGCCCCTTATCTTCTTCCTCCTCCTGTCTCTCAGCCTTGCCCCTTGTTTCACTTCCTCCTTCTCAAAATACTTTGAGTTGCTGACGGCAGGGCTGGAAGCAGTGACTGCCAATGACCCTGAGTTGATACAATGAATTAATAAATATTCGGGTGGGTTTTGGGGGTTGCTCTGCCTGTGTCCCCCTCTGTGCCCCCGGCCCAGCATGACCCCAGTGCCCTGGCCCAAGAAAGCCTGGTTTGATTCCAGGGCCAGTGACTTCATCCCTTCCCGGGGGTTGGAGCGGTGAGAATAAAGCCAGGCTTGTTCCCCTCCCACACACTCATCCTAGGGCCTCGAGGAGGGAACACAGCACCCCTGCTCAGTGCATCCCCCTGGGATTTAGGAGCTGGCGGGAGCACTTGTGTTCCAGAATCCCAGCGGGTTTTATCCTGCAGGGAGTAGATACGTTTATTTCTTTTAAATCCCAGGCCTTGGAAGCTCTCAGGGCTGGATGTTTCCCCACGTGGGTCTCCGGGGAGAGTGGGGCTCTGGCTGCGTAGCCTGGGAGAGGAGTGGTGTGGGGCTCCTGGAGGTCATCGCTGCTCCCTTCCCTGGGCATCTCCATCCATCCACACTGTACTGTATTTTCACTTGATGCAGATGCTGCACTTAAAAACTCTGCTCTTAAGAAGCTGTATCCTTGCAAATACCTCATAATCTGGGTGAGCAGCTCCACGCTGGTCCTGTCTCTGACTGCAGGGGCTCAACAGACCCGCAGCTCCCACTTTCACCTCTATTTGGGGATATTTTTGAAGTAGCACCTCAGACAGGACCTTTTCTTGGCGGGACAAGAGACGCTCACGTGGCTTGCAAGCATCCTTAGTGGGAGTCTGCTCCCTCTGCATCCTTCCTACGTGTCTGTCCCTGCCATGCCCGGTTCTCAGTCATCCTTTCCCCCCATGCAGGTCTCATGGTACCAAGTGACGTGTCTCCCCTGTGAGATTCGTGCCCCCCAACCTCCTGAGAAGATGTCAGGGATGCAGGTAAGCTCTGGATGAGGATAGGCAGGGATGGAGCAGCCCCCGTGCTCAGAAGGGATGTGGGGAAACTTGGTTTAAGTAAATCCCATTTGGATTTGCATCAGAGAGATGGGAGCTTGTGAGGGGGGTCCCTGAGGGCTGGGGAAGGGCCCAAGGGTGGGTGATGTGCCCATCCAGGGCTCTGATGCCGTTCCCTCTTCCCAACCAGGCTGTTTGGCCGTCCGGTACAGAATGTATCGCCAAGTACAACTTCCACGGTACCGCTGAGCAGGACCTGCCCTTCAGCAAAGGAGACGTCCTTACCATTGTTGCTGTCACCAAGGTAAGGTGTCCCTGCCACCCCCCACGCCAGGATTTCTGTGGGACGCCTTTCCTGGGATCCCCTGGTCCTGGCAGTCCCTCTGGGCAGGAATTGGGCCACACACTTGGTTAATTAATTCACGACCTTGTTAGTTAAGGTTTCTCCGAAATGTAAGCGCCTCCTGGGACGTGGAGGAGGGACGGGAGAGGCAGCAACACCAGGCTTGACTCTGGGGAAGGAAAAGTGGGGCTGTGGGTTTGGGGAGCTCTGGGTTGCCCAGCAGGCTGGGAGGGGGATCACAGTGACCCCCCGTGGGGCCACCAACGTCAGGGTTTTGCTGGTTCCGGCACCGACCCTGATCCCCTGCCCATCCTGTCCTTCCTACAGTTCAGGAAGGGGACACCAGGGTGCTTGGGGAATCCCCAGGGCAGTGCTGACACCCCCGTGGGCTCCTTGGGTGGGATATTGCTGTCTCCAGAGGCCACAGGCTCGTTGTGACATCCTGCTGTCCCCGCAGGATCCCAACTGGTACAAGGCAAAGAACAAGGTGGGCCGGGAGGGCATCATCCCCGCTAACTACGTCCAGAAGCGGGAAGGAGTGAAAGCTGGGATCAAGCTCAGCCTCATGCCGTAAGTATCCAACACGGACTCTTGCCAAGGTGAATTTTGGGGGAGGTGGCCTGGTCTGGAGCGTCCCCGTGCTCAGAGCCATGTCCCAGCAGAGGTGACATTCCTCACAGGGCTTGGCAAGGTTAGAAGGCATAAGAGGCAGGGGGTCAGGCTTCCCGGCAGCATGGATTTGGGATTGGGATTTGCTGCTGCAGAGAGCTCTGAATGCCTTGGGAGCTACCTGCGTGGCTGCAAATGTGATGGATTGTTGGGTTGCGCTTCAGACTGGTTTTTTACCCAGTGTTGGGGTTGTAAAGGCTGCTGGGAGGCAGAAGGAAGGTTAGAACAGGGTCTGTACAGGAGGGGTGGGAGATAGGCAGATGGATTGATGGATGAATGGTTTTGATATTCCTGCTGCATCTCAGAGCTGCCAGTGACTCCCAGTCTGGGGGAGCTGGGAGGAGAAAGCTCCTAGGAGTGTGCAGAGGGCCTGAATCCCAGGTTGGGGACCAGGAGGAGGGGAGCAGGATGCCATGGAAGGAGGTGTGTCATGGGATGGACAGGGACAGCAAGGAGGAGCACGGACAAGCTGTTCCCCATGCAGGCAGGGATGGAAGCTGCTGTACCACATCCCTATCCCTCCCAAATGAAGTCCCACAGGGATCCAACCAGCACATCCCCAGCCCTTAACCTGCCCTGTGTGCTCTGTTGCAGGTGGTTTCATGGAAAGATCACACGGGAGCAGGCAGAGCGGCTGCTGTACCCTCCCGAGACGGGGCTTTTCCTGGTGCGGGAGAGCACCAACTATCCTGGGGACTACACTCTGTGCGTGAGCTGCGAGGGGAAGGTGGAGCACTACCGCATCATCTACTCCTCCAGCAAGCTGAGCATCGATGAGGAGGTCTACTTTGAGAATCTCATGCAGCTGGTGGAGGTGAGGCCTGAGCTGCCACCACTCTGGTCCCCCTCAGCCTGAGGTTGGAAGGGGACATACAGGGACATCAGAGCTTGTGGGGCTGCAAGTCTGGAGCTCAGGATCTGGTGGGACCTTTTCTGCTGACCCCCTGGGGTGGGGATGCTGGGGACAGACCCCTGGGGCAAGGAGGGGGGACAGGGGCAGGATGCTCAGGGGACAGAGGGACCGGGAGGAGGGACCTCCGAGCTCTCAGCAGGCCCATCCGTGGCCTCGTGCTGCCACCTGGTGGGATCTGAGAGCCTGGCATCGCCTTGGTGTCACCCACACACCCACTGTGTCCCCCCCAGCATTACACCACAGACGCAGACGGGCTCTGCACCCGCCTCATCAAACCGAAGGTGATGGAGGGGACGGTGGCAGCGCAGGACGAGTTCTCTCGCAGTGAGTGGCCGTGCCCCCTCCCTGGCTCCTGGCAACCCACCCAGCACCCCCTCACTCCCCCTTTTGCCCCACGCAGGTGGCTGGGCCCTCAACATGAAGGACCTCAAGTTGCTACAGATCATTGGCAAAGGGGAGTTTGGAGGTGAGCCCAGTGTCCCCAGTGCTGCGGTGGCCCTCAGTTGGGGGGGGAGGGGTGGTGGGGGTGCTCTTCTGTAGCCCCCTCAGGGTGACAGTGGGGCCCCAGGAGGCCAGGATGCTTCCCAGTGCCTCCTATGCCCATCTCTCCTGGCCTGCAGACGTGATGCTGGGGGATTACCGGGGGAACAAAGTCGCCGTGAAGTGCATTAAAAACGACGCCACAGCGCAGGCCTTTCTGGCAGAGGCATCTGTCATGACGTGAGTGTCACCATCACTGGGGGAGGACAGCAGGAGGGAGAGGGCACCTCTGCACCTCTGTCCCTGTGAGCAAGGGTGGGTGGTCCCTGATACTGCAGGGACCATGGGAGTACCCCTTCTCCTCAAAACCCTGAGCCCTCCTACGCCATGCAGGCAGCTCCGACACAGCAACCTGGTGCAGCTCCTGGGGGTGATCGTGGAGGAGAAGAGTGGCCTTTACATCGTCACTGAGTACATGGCCAAGGTGAGACCCCCCACCCTGGCCACCTGCCCTCCCATTCGATCCCCTTTGCCCCCCCACCAGGGTCCCAGGGCTTCACCCTGGCAGACCAGCTGGGTCATCCCAGCTTGGGTGGCATCTCTCTGGGACCACCATGGTGATTGGACGTGTTGTTCTCATTGCTGGCTCCAAGGGAGGGTTGGCATCTCCAGATCCTGCCCGAGGGAGAAGTATCATCCACAGGTCCTGCCCCACAGGGGAAGGGATATCATCCCCTGGTTCTGCCCCATGAGGGAGGGGCATCAACCATTGGTCCTGGTCCATGTGGAAGGGACATCATCTCCGGGTCCTGATGAGGTGGGAGGGGGCAACGGGTGGAATGCTGACGCTGATGATGCCATCTCTATCCATCCATTCATCCCTCCATCCAGGGCAGCCTAGTAGACTACCTGCGGTCACGTGGGCGGTCAGTCCTCGGGGCAGACTGCCTGCTGAAGTTCTCCTTGTAAGTACAGGACAAGGCCATGCCCACCACCCTGACCTGCACCCGCCCCATCTTTTGGGGCTGCCCTGCTAACCCGCTTCTCCTCTCCACCCCACCCAGAGATGTCTGTGAAGCCATGGAGTACCTGGAAGCCAACAACTTTGTCCACCGGGACCTAGCGGCGAGGAACGTCCTGGTCTCGGAGGACAACATCGCAAAGGTCAGCGATTTCGGGCTGACCAAGGAAGCCTCCTCCACACAGGACACGGGGAAGCTGCCAGTCAAGTGGACAGCGCCAGAAGCACTTAGAGAAAAGGTGGGTGAGCAGAGGGGGGGACCCGGACTTCATGGATATGGAGGAGGCTGCGGGAAAGGGGCACATTCCAGGCTGCCCCAAATTTTCCATGCAGAGATGGTGCTTGAGTGCCACTTCCCACTGTCTGACCCCACAACCAGCTGCCCTGAGGGTGGGGAAGAACCGTTGCCCCCCATCCCTGCCTGAGCCTGCTGACAGGGCTTCCTTCCCCTCCCTCCAGAAATTCTCCACCAAGTCAGACGTGTGGAGCTTTGGGATCCTCCTCTGGGAAATCTACTCCTTCGGGCGAGTGCCTTATCCGAGAATTGTAAGTGAGGACCACCCCAGTGCCTCGGGGCTGGCTTTTGAGGGCACTGAGCCCCTGTTTGTGGGGACATAACCCTCACCCTCACATCCCAATTCCCGCCCCTGTACCCCCAGCCCCTGAAGGACGTGGTGCCCCGTGTGGAGAAGGGCTATAAGATGGATGCCCCGGACGGTTGTCCGGCCGTCGTCTATGAGGTGATGAAGAAGTGCTGGACCCTGGACCCCGGCCACCGGCCGTCCTTCCACCAGCTCCGCGAACAGCTAGTGCATATCAAAGAGAAGGAGCTCTACCTGTGAGGGGGGGGCTCGCCCACCCCGGCAGCCGGGGGGGGACCATGCTGGGGGTGGGACCGGGGGTGTGGGCAGCCCCCCTGCCCCGCCCTGGCACCAGGAGGGAGCCCCGGGGGTATCCTCTCCGCCCCAGTCCCCCGGTTGCTTCCAAACTTCCAAATCTGTCAGTTTTTATTTTTATTTTCCAGGTTTGGGGTGGGTTGGTTTTGGTTTTTTTTTTTCCTCTCCCAGGCTCTTTTTTTTTTATTTTTGTGGATTTTTTTGTTGTTTTTGTTGTTGTTGTTTTCTTAGTTTTGGGGGGGGCTTTGTTGGTGTTTTTGGGTTTTTTTTATTATTTCAAGCAGGGCCCAGCTGAGCGCTGGGCGTTTTACTAAAGTACGAATCTTATTTTTTAATGTAATTAAAAGAAAAAAAAAAGAAAAAAAAAAAGAGAAGAGAGAGGAAGGTTGACAAAAGGAGAATAATAATAAATAAACCAATGAAATGGACACACGAAAAGGAAACCCCCAGCGACAGACGTGATGGTTGACGGGTTGACGCTGGACTCGCCGCCCGGTCGGGAGAGCGTGGCCGCGTCCCTGCCAGATGCTTTTTTTTTTTTTGGGTTGTTTTGCTTTAAACTCGTTGCAATGTTTGCATGCTGTCTCCAGAGGCCTTTTTTTCCAGTCCTGTCCAGTGCTTTATTCTCATGTAATGCTACCAACTGTGAGATTAAAAACTGTAATTAAAAAAAAAAAACATTCCATACGGACGCGGCACATCCTGCCTCGCTTGCCCCTCTGTCGCCAGCTCTGCTCCCTGGGGTCCTGGGATCCCTTGGCAGGGTAGAAGGTGGGGGTGGACCCCTCCATCTCTGCCCAGGGTCCCCATATAGGTGGGGTGAGTAGCTTGGGCATCACTTGGCTCCATCCTGTCCCATGAGAACTGGTGAGGCTGTGACAGTGATGAAACTGCCAAGTGATGCCAAAGCTCCTCTTTAATCCAGGCTTTACTTCCCGATGCTTGGGGCAGACAGGGGAAAACCTGGAAATGCATTTTGGGGCCTATTCCTGGACCTCATGGACCTTATTCCCTGCCCTGCTTGTCTCAGCCAAGGGGCTAAAGCCATTTGTGCAGCAGGACCCCCATGTCCTGGACCCCCAACCCTGAAGGAGTTGTCCCCATGGAATCCCTTCTGCCTTTGAGGAAGCTGGGTGGAGGTGGTGTCTGGCACAGCAGGTTTATAATAGTTCCCTTCATCCATAGGGAATTATTCAGTGTTAAACAATGCTCAGAGCATCGGCTTTGCTGGCTGCCTGCTTGGCAAGCCAGAGTCAGAAGCTCTCCATCTGGTTTGGACCAGGATTGAAACTGAGATTCCTCTTGAAGGCAGGTTGAAGGAAAAAATAGGGAGTGCTGGGACACAGGCACACAGAGATGTGTGGGATGGAGGATGGAGCATGCATCCTGTGGAGGGAGATGTGCTTTTGACCCCCTTCCCCTTCGGTGGTGTCTGGATGTCTGGAGGGGACAGGACAGTGATGTGATGGGCTTGATAGGGTTTCATTTCGCCTGGACTAACCCCCCTCCACTTTTCCCCGTCCCCCCCATTCCTCCCAGTGCTCTGGCAGGCCCCAGCCGGATAAGCAGCTTTACTTTTTGGGCTTATGAAGATTAAAGTCATTTACAGGCAAAGCCTGCAAGAAACGTGGCTTTGGGAATGGCGAGAAATACCCAGAACCTTCACACAGTGTGAGACATCAGGGAGAGCTCTGGTCCTGTCCCCTGCCATGTCCCCTCCGGTTCCCTTGCCCTGGGTTAGTGCTGGGGACAGACCCCTTCCAGCTATCCAAAAAAGGGGGAAAATCTAACCCAAAAATCATTTAGACCTTTGATTTTCCTCCTCTGGACACTGCGGATTTCTGACACTGCCTGGGCCAGGGGGTCTTTAGGAGAATGTTTGGTGCATCAGCACCCTCCAGGGTGTAGTTGGATGACGCTGAAAGAGAACTGCTGGGAGAAATCCCATTCTTCACAGCTCATTAGGAAGTTTAATCCTGCCAAGCCCCTCCTGCCACTACTGTCCATGCCTCAGTTTCCCCACCCAGAGCAGGTTGCTCCTGCCACTGGGCACTAGGTCTCCCTTGCTTTGAGCTGCTGCTTGGAGATGCACAGCCTGGATCCCAGTAGATGATTCTGCCCAGGGATTCTGGGACTCTTTCCGTCAGCTGCGAACCCCTCGGCAGCCTGTGCAGCAGTGTGACTGGAGGGGACAGGCTGAGTGACACCCTGGGGCTCTCGGGTGCCGGCTGACATCATGTCCCCTTCCTCCTTCTCCTCCTCTTCCCATCAGCAAAGAGATTGGCCTTGGGCCCAGTTGTGTCAGCTCCCATCGTGCCTCAAGTGGCCGGTGTGAATCATCCGCGGCGGCAACATGCATGGAGTTATTCCCAGTGCCAGCGCCGGGGTGTCCGTGCGATGGCACACGTGGATCTTGCCTCTCCCTGCACCTTCACGGCACAGTGTGCAAGAAGGGAGCAGGGACACAGGGTTTAAAAAGCTCTGGGCAATCCAGCCTTCTATTCTGGTGGCTCTTCTGTCTCTGCCCTCCATGCCTCTGAGTGGGATCCCAGCTTGGGCTGGACCTTGGTATCCTAGATGGATCCAGATGGGGATGGGGAGAGCTGGGATTTGGTGTGTGGAACCTGCAGGGGTTGAAAGGACCAGCTCCAAAGTCACCAACATGCTTTGCTTTTCCATCACCTGCCTCCCTGGCACAGACTCAGGGGGTCACCCCGGGGGTCACCCTTGGACAAAGCATCCCTTCCAGCACCAACACTGGCTCCCTCTGCTCCCAGCAGATATCCTCTCTCCTCTCCATCAGGGCTCTTTCCATGAGCTTTGTCTCTTCCCCGTGTCCCCACATCCTGCCTGCCTTCTCCCCATTACCCGCAGAGCTGCAGGGAGCCTTCCTCTCCCTAAACAAGCAAAAATCTCAATCTCCCTTCAAAGGAAGCCAATTCCAGCTGCAGCAACCGCTTACTTCACATTTCCCAGGGTCCCAAAGCCTCCATCCCAAGAGGAGGGGGTGCAACGTGCCCCCCACTGTTTAATTCCCTCAGTGCTGCTTGGAGCCAATTACCAGCTCTAATTATGGTCCTTCTGCTCCAGCCTTGGAGCACGGGCTTCCCAACCCCTGGCATCCCTCTCCAGCATCTGTGCGCTGCCGGCATCTCCTCCCCCTCTGCGATCCACTTTATCACAAGGACTATTTTTAGCATGACGTACAAAGCCATTCCCATCACCGTTCCATGTCGTTCACCTCTTCAGCCTCTCTCTCTCTATATCTTTTTTTTTTTTTTTATCTTCTGAGCACTCCAGGAAATGAAGGCAAGGCTGGGAAGATCCCCCGTGGGAATGCTGTGTGCGTGTGTGGCCGTGTGTGTGTTTCAGCTGGCGTGTGCCTTTGCTCCAGGCTTGCTCTCCACCACCGGCAGGAAGCAGCACATGGTCTCCCCATGTGCCTGTTTACATGCTCTGTATGTCTGTCCGGGTGGATTTGTGTCACTGCTCGGTGCAGACACTGCCGTGGGAGCCCCCCCCTTCATCTCAACCACCTCCCTCTTCTTCCTCACCCCCCACGGCATCCCCCTCCTCCCAGCAGGGTTGGCAACCATCCGGCTCTCTGCTGTGACATGCTTCCCCTCCTCTTCTGCCAAAGCACTCGTGGCACCCCTAAACACCCCATCCCTTGGGACAGGGGCTGTATTCCTGTATGACAGGACCATTCCCATCCCAAACCCATATCCCTCAGGAGGTATGTCCTGTATGATAGGACCATTCCCACCCCAAACCTCCCAAAACCCAGCAATGATGAGTCTGGGCAGCCCCATGCTCACTGACACGATGATGAGACCGGGGATTCTGAGGGAATTGGGGGGACATCCCAGCAGCATCCCTACTCCTGGCTTCTCTTCCCAGGGACCATTCGGGGGCTTCCAGGGGATGCTCTGCCAGGGCAGGCAGAGGGTGAGGATGAGTGTACACTGAGGTTTTTTTCATCCTTTGGTGATGTCAAGAGATTTTGGGAACTTAGAGGTTTGGTTCTGTAGGAGTGGGAAGGCTTTCCATGGGAACAGCCTCCCTAGGTCAGGAAAAGGCAGCTTTGGTTTCGTTTCTGTACCAAGCTGCCTGCTGCACTGCTGTCTATTCTCCTCAACCAAAGCAAAGTCCAGCTTTATGGAATTCTGTTCAAGTAACATGCCAGGAATTCATTTTATTTGGTAGTTTACAACACCCTTATCCTAAACTTTCTTTATTCCCTCTGTCAGTGACATGGTAGCACTTTGATCCCAGTAAGGGGGCTCCTAGAAGGAATCCCACAGCCCTCTGAAGGGATGTTCTGCTCAAGACCTTGAACTCGTGGGAGCATAGCAGCACTGGAGACATCTGGATAGATGTCACCATGCGTAATCCCTGTGCCCAGAGCAACGAGGGGCACAGCAGGGTATCCCTGTCCCCATCCCATTGGAGCACCCCCAGCAGGAGGTGGGAAGAGAGTAGGTGACTCTGCCCCTGCACCTGGGGTCAGGGCTGAGAGCAGTGGTCCCTGTGGTGGCAGTGCCTGTCCCCATCACCAGGAGTGACAATCAGCTGCCGAGCACTGGCGTGACTTCTCCAAGCAGCAGGCTGCCTGTTCTCTTCGGAAATGCCTTCTCATTTCTCCCCCATTACATTCCAGCACACACATATGTATCTTTCCAGGATTTCTTCACCTACTCAGGGTCTTCAAAGGTTTAAACCTTTACATTTCCCGGATTTCAGGCTGCCGAGGATCAGATAGGCCTTTTGATGGCTGTATTGCCGTGGCACCAGACCTTAAGGTCACCAAGCCTTCCCCTTCCCTCTACAATCTGTGAGATCACTCCAGGAACCAGCCACTCCAGCACCATTCAGGGATCTCTGGAGCATCATATAAAACCCTGGTTGTGGTAACTGTGCCTTTGGAGCCAGTTATGTGGAAAGAAGAGCTGGAACGATCTCTCTCACCATGGCAGAGGGAACTGCTTGCATCGAATTTAAATCAGGTGTCAACGCTCAGAGAGGATCCTCTTAACTTGCACCGGCTTGTCTGAGGCTGCGATGGGGGGATGTCTCATCTCCCTCCCGTCTAATCCATGGAGATGTGTGATATAGCATAAGCTAATATAATAGGTCATGCAAGGATTTACATCTCATTACGACAGGTTAGAGTCCTGTGAGGATGGATGACTCATCCTTACTTGAATATATTTCAGGGATAAGAAACAGTTCAGCTGCCCAAGGAAAAGCAAATGGGGAAATCAGCTACCTTGAAGCATCATTTGCCAGCTCATTGAACCCTCTGATTGTCCTCTCATCTCTACCTCCGGGTGGGACCCTGTCCTCCCCGAGAAAAGGCAAAGGGATGGGAGAGATGCAAAACCTCTTTGGCGGTACTTTCCTTTGCCTTTTGCTCCATCCCTAAAAAACCTGGGCTGCAAGGGGCTGCAAAACTCAACTTCATGGTCCCCCCCCATCCCCCGTGGAGCACATCCATCTCCTGGTGAGCGAGCATCCCAAGAGACCAGATCCAAAGCCCTGCCAGGAACGGCATGCTCATTTTCACCTAGTTGCCTTGGCCAAGCATTTCTGCTCATCAGGAGCTGTTTGCTCTTAGTTCCTCAGACAGGGAGGCTCCGTGGGAGCTGACCCGTCTAACCCAGCTGGAAAAAATCGGTCCTGACTTCCAGTCTCTTATTGTTAATGGATGCTCAGAGAGAAATCTGGAGTGAGCAAAGCTCACAGGACCAGCCACATCCGAAGTCTGCTCTGCACCCACCCAAGGCTCAGACCTGCCCAGCAATCAAGGACACAAACAGGGATACTTTTCCTTCTCCCTGTCCCTCTTTTCACCCAGACTGACAGCTGGGACATGACCATGCTGTTTGCAATGGGGCATTGGCTCCCAGCCTATTTTTAAGCAATCTGTGGCAGTTCGTTGTGGGTTAAAATTCATTTTCCATGGGTTTTCCATGGGAAAATGCTCAGGGGGAGCTGCAGATTGGTGTAAAAAGTGAAAGCCATCACTTCAAACAGTTGCGAGGACTCCTGAGCTGCCAGCCCAGGGAGAGCAGCAGCCACAGGGGCACCTGCGTGGTGGGGGATGCTGTGGGTGACACTGGAATTGTGCCAAATGGCACAAATGGCACCCCATCCCAGTGGCAATTTGCACATTTGGATGAACTCAAGGGAACTGCTGGCATCATTCAAGGGTCTCTACTCTGTCTTTGCCAGGACAAAAGGTCCCCTCTTTTCACCTCTCAAAGGGTGTTCCTGTCCTTAACAGCAACAGTCACTGCCAAACTGCTGACCAGATTATTAACCAAGGAAAATACATTTTTTTAATCTATATTCCTTTTAAGATATAATTTTCCCTTGTATAGGGAGGAATGGGAGGATATGGGCCGATTCCCTCTCCCTCTGTCACTTTGTTCTATCACTTCGCAGCTGTTCCATCATTTTAATCTGCAGAGATTGTCTTTAGATTTCAGAAATGAAATTATTTCCTGCAGGCTGGGATTGGGTTTTGGATCTGTGCTCATTTTTCATGAGTAGAGAAGAAAAAAGGGAGAAATGTCTGTTAAAGCCAGGCTGGCCATCTGGAAACGTTGCTGATGCCATTAATTGCTCACTCCCCAAGGTCTGGAATATGCCTGAAGTCAAAGGGAAGAGCAGGAGTGAGAGCGGGAATGGAGAGACTGAAGGAATGCTGCAACAAAATCAATGCCTGCTCCATCGTCCTGATTTAGGTGACTGATGAACGCAAGGGTGTCTGGATTGTGGAAACTGAGAGCAGCTTTAATACTAATCAATATTATAAAATCATGGAATCATAGAATCAAGGAATGGTTTAGGTCAGAAGAGACCTTAAAACTGATCTTGTTCCAACCTCCTGCCACGGACAGGGACACCTTCCACTAGACCAAACCCTGCCCAACCTGGCCTTGAACACTTTCAGAGATGGGAATACTTCCATGGATATCCTTAACGGGAAAAAGGGGAGGGAGCATTTCGAGCCAGCCCTTAGATAGACGAGCAAACCGTTGTGACTGGTGCATGGTACATACAGCTTGTACTGAGCGTCAAGCTCGGCTTTTCCTCCCGCCAGACACAAGGACGGGGAATAGAGTGAGAAAGACGGCACTTTGGTGGGTTTGCTTCTCGGTGGGATGAAGCAGCCGGGAATCATGGAGTGGAGCGTGTCCCGGGGGCTCACCGCCCCAGCCGTGGCTCCATCCACCCCCCAGTGCCCCTGGGGGGCTCTGGGGGCTCCTTCTTCCCGCGGGAGTGGCGGGACTCTCGGTGCCCCCGGCGTGGGTTGGGACGGCGGCAGCTCCGCCCGGCGGAGGGCGGCGGGGCCGGGCGGGAGGCGGTGCCGCCGCCGTGCGAGGACACACACACCGGAGCTGTGCGAGCCCCGGTGCTGCAGCGCCCGCCGCTCCGCTCCGCTCTGCTCCGCTCCCAGCCGGGACTGGCCCCGCCATGGGCGACGGGGCTGCGCGGCCCCGCTGAGCCCCGGACACCGCGGCATCCCGGCAACTCCAGCACCCCGAACTCCGACATCCCGGGAACTCGGTACTCCGGCAGCCCGGCAGCTCCCCTCCGCTGACCCCGGCATCCCCGGAGCTCGGGACTCCTCTGCCCAGGGAACTCACATCCACAGCATCCCAGCTCCCCGGGAACTCCGGTCCGCTGATCCCAGCTCTTCCATCACTCGGTACTTCAGCATCCCGGGAACCCGCTACTCCACTGCCCCGGCAACTCCGCTGCGCTGACCTCGGCTCCCCGGGAATTCGGTATTCCGTCATCCCGGGAATTCATCTGCGCTGACCCCTGCTCCTCCATAACCCCGTGCCCCAGCTCCCTGGGAATTCAGCTCCCTTGTCCCTGGGTCCTCCACCACCCAGTACGCTGGCAATCCGGGAATTTAGTACTCCACCACCCCGGGAACTCGGCTCCGCTGATCCCGGCTCCCGGAGAACTCAGTACTCTGTCCTCCCGGGAATTCATCTCCGCTGACCCCATCTCCTCCACAACCCCGTACCACAGCTCCATGGGGAGTCAGCTCTGCTGACCCCGGCTCCTCCATAACCGGGTACCCCAGCTGCCCGGGCACTCAGTACTCAGCTCCCCTGGAACTCATCTCTGCTGACCCCAGCCCCTCCATAACCAGGTACGCCGTCTCCCTGGGAGCTCCTACCCACAGCACTCCCGGCTTCCCGGTAACTCCCTACTCCCAGCACCCCAACACCGACCATACCTTGGTTCCCTGGTGCTCCAACTCCCTCTTATCCCTGTTCCTCGGACTCCCAAAACTCTGCATCCCCATCTTCCCTACTCCTTGTACCCCGGAGCCCCCAACTAACCGCGGTTCTCCCAGCTCCACAGCCGCTGTGCCCACCGGCTCCCCGGCCCCCGGGCTCCCGGGCCCCCTGGAACTGAGGCCATGGCGTTCATGGTGAAGAGCATGGTGGGGGGGCAGCTGAAGAACCTGACGGGAGGCCTCGGCGGCGAGGAGAAGAGTGAGGGTGAGAAGTCTCCGGCCGAGGCACAGGGCATGACCCGTGAGGAGTACGAGGAATATCAACGGCAGCTGGTGGAGGAGAAGTGAGTGCGACTGGCACAGGGACGGGCTGGACCCTCACGGTCCCTGAGGGGAGGGGGTGCTCCTGCTGCAGTCCCCTATCCCATACATGGGAGCTGGGGAGAGCCAGTACTGGGGACAGCAGGACCGTGAGGGAGTTTAATGAGCCCCCTAATCCCTTAATCCGCTTCCTTGCCCGGGAGATGGGATTGTTTTCTCCTTTCAGGCTGCGCTGGGGGGAGGAAATTGTGGGGGACTTTTCAGAGACAATGGGGGATACTGAGGCTGGGGGGATGTGCAAACCCAAGGATGGGGGGTCCAGGCTGTTGGTAACAGCCCTGTGTGGTTCGCAGGATGGAGAGAGATGCCCAGTTTGCCCAGCGCAAGGCAGAGAGAGCCACGGTCAGGTCCCACTTCCGAGACAAGTACAGGCTTCCCAAGGTATGGCTGTGCTGGAAATGGGAGGGAGGAGGGAGAGGGGCACATGAGGGGTCAAAGCCCAAATGCCAAACATCCTTCTCCCCAGATTTTGGCCCCTTTTCATCACCCCTAAACACCACAGACCACCAGACCCTGACTTGATCCTCCTCTGCCCCGCTTTTGTCCCCTAAATCCAGTTGGATGAGGGAAAGCCACCTTCACCCCAGACTCCCTGGAGCTGGGAGCGGAGCCAGGGTTACACTTTCCTGGCTGGATTAGCCAGCTTCTCTCCCCAGATTATTTGGCAAATGTCCCCCTCCTAGACTCCAGTTTTGGAATTTCTGCCCAACGAACAATTCACTAAAAACAACATAATCAAGGGAAAATTCAACCATTCTTAGAATTACTACAAGCTCTTCTCCCTCCAAACCCACCCTTTATTCAGGAAGAGTCTCTCAGCGGTGAATACTCCAAATTGGAGCCGGGCTAATATTAGTTCCGAAGGGTCGGCTAAGCCAAGTGAGATTGTTCTGATTGTTTGGTGTTATTCAGCCAGCCTGGATTCCCACCCCCCTGCTTCCCACCCCCCTTTTATCAGCAGGAAATAAACAACGAGAGAATTTCTTTTTCCTCCTACCAAAAGCCAGAAAAGGCAGAGAAAGAAAAGATGGAGATTTTTTTTATTCTCCAGGGAAAATAGGGACTTGTTTGGAGCTGGCCCCACAGTCCTTTCTCTGTTTCCTCGTGCTTGAAATGTCCCTTCTCATCTTTTGACAAGTTTCTTCTGCTTATTCCTGATCCTGCTTGGCAGCTGGGCTGCCTCATCCAGAGTCTCCCCATGGCTCCTGGCGCAGAGCTGATCCCGGTTGCCGGTGGGAGCAGTTGTTAGGCATACGTGTAGCTTAATTAGGTGCCTAACCCCCCACAGTGCATGCTGAAAACCAGTTTATACTGGTGCTGTGAATGGGTTTTCATCTCAGCTCTTGCTGTGAGCGCCCAGGCTCGGCTCAGCTATGTCCCCTCTGGATCAGCATCCCACCCTCAGCCCCAGGGACCTTCCCACATGGACCTTAAAATAGGAAGACAGCCCAAAGCCCCTGCTGTGACAGGTCCCTGCACATGCTTCCAGAAGCCCCCTTCCCACTGTGACATACCCCCTTCTGATTCTCTCCCGGCCCATTTCAGAATGAAACGGATGACAACCAGATCCAGCTTGTAGGAGGTGACGTGGAGCTGCCCAAGGAGCTGGCCAAGATGATCGAGCAGGACAACGAGGAGGAGGAAGAGAAGAACTCGGTTATCGGCCAGCTCAGCAACATCCAGAACCTGGACCTTGATTCCTTGAAGGACAAAGCTTCAGCCACGCTAGAGGACCTGAAGCAATCGGCGGAGAAATGCGCCGTGATGTGACGGGGCTGAGCCCCCCTCGCCGCCGGTGCGACAGTGGGGGAGCAGGGAGGGGATGCAGCGAAGGGTCTGGCGGGGGCTGCTGCCAGCGGCGGGGACCCCACCAATGTTGTCACCCTTGCCGTGTGTCACTCGGGTCCTCCTGAACCGTGTGACCCCTTGAGTCCCTGACCCAGGTGTTCCTGCTGTGTGGTGTTCGTTTTGTTCTCTGGTCTGAGGTTTAGGGCAAAGAGCCAGCATGTCCCCCTGTACCCCAATGCCTCCTCCCGTGCCCACGGCAGTGGGTGTCTCCGTAGCCAGAGCCGGGGCAGGAGCAAGGAAGGAAAATGACCTTGGAGTGTTATTGGCCCATGTTGTCAGTGCGGGAAGGACCACGTGTGGTGGCCATATGCCGTGTCTCTGCCTCCACATTTCCACCCAACCTCCTACAAATGACTGGGAGGCTCCAATTTTCGCTTCGCAAGGACGAGGCATGGTGCGGAACACCCTCCTTCCCTGCATCCCGTACCCATCACATGAGAAATAATATCCCTTCCGTGCAAGGAACACCAACCCCTCCGCCCTTCAGGGCTCCTCTAAAGGAGCCAGCCAGGAAGGACCTGCTATACAACCTGCTATATGATCCCATTTATCCCTGTGGGAAGGGGGGTGTTGAGGACCAGAAGGCTGAAGCCTGAATTAACACCAGAGAGGAATAAAACTCCTCCCTGGTGCTCAGCTGAGCCCACACCAGCCCTTCCCCGGAGCATTGGTGTACACCATCCCTCTCCTGGGATGGGATCCACTTCTGTCCTTGTTCCTTCCATGAGAAGAACAAAGTGATAAGGAAAAATCTCCTTGTCCTCCCCCCGCATCGTGATGTAGCTGTGCGCTGTGCTCAGTTGAGTGTCCCTCCACCTCCTGTGCTCTCCCCAAGCCATGGTACTGTTATAACCGGTGGAATAAATACCAGGAGATGTCTATGCATTTATTTTTCTCCTCAAGCTCTATTTTCCTGATCAAGGTTTTGGCGTGCCCCTTTACGGAGCAGGGACGGGAGCTCGAGGGAGAAGCATCCCAAAGAAAGCATTGTTTCTGGTTGCCATCACATTCGGGACCGAAGGGATGCTACAAGTGGGTTGTTGTTGGCAGTTGGGTTTAAAAGCAAACAAAATTCCCGTTTTTTCACAGGTTTTTTGCTATTTTAATATAAAACCTTCAGAACACTTGGTCTGGGACACCGTGGGATGTCCGCAGAGCTGCTCCGAGCAAGGACACATCTCTGCAGGGATGAGCCCGTGATAAGCATAGGTGTGACTCCCAGCTGAAACAGCTCCAGCCAGATGGTATCCCGGCAGGCAGTGGGCTCCTGCAGCGAGGCTTCCTAGAAAAACTTGGCATGAGCTAGGAATTTATCACTCCAAATCCCAAGGGAGCTGATTAACTGCACTTTGGTTTCATGGGGGAGGTGGGTCATCCAGGAAAACACAGGAGAGGGTGCTAGGAAGCTGAGATTATTATTATTATTATTATTAATCATCATCATCATTATTGTTATTATTATTAATAATATTATTAAGGATGCTGGACCAGGACACGGCTGGGGCTGCTGGACCAAGAGATTCCTTTCTGCCCCCAGCTCCCTGTTAAGACTGTGCCAGGGCCAGGTAATTCTGGGAAACTCCTGGTCTCCATCCCTGAGAGGACAGACAGACAAAGGCATCTCAGGTGTGATGCTCTGGCTGTGAGGACATACCTCCTCATGACCCTCCAGCCCCAAGGACCAGGAGTCCCCTGCCAGTAGTTCTGGGGATGTCTGCCCCCAGGGATCCCAAATCCAGCCCCACACAGCAGCGGGAGCTGGGGAAAAATGAGAGGAAAGATTGGCAGGAGCAGCTTTAGCTCTGAAAGGAGATCATACCTGATGAGGATCAGCCCAAGCTGATCTAATCCCCCACCAGGAAAGGGATAGCAGAAAGCAGGCACGGACTGAGCTGAGCCCTTGGTGTTTAAATCCCAGGCTGATGGAGAGGCATGATCGATAAACATCACACGGGAGAGCAGGATCCCGACCAGAGCAGGCAGTGATGGGGCTGGAGGATGCAGGCTTTCGGTTCATCCCACTCAAAACCAGCCAGGATCCTCTCCTCCACCTTTTCCTCTGCCCCCCTTCCCCTCTCCTCCATTCCCGACCCTTCAGCCCTGCTCTGTGCTCTCCCCCGGCCCACGTGCCGCCATGCAAAGGCCGCGTGAAGCTCAGTGGGTTTATTTTAGGAGGCACCATGACCCCCAGGCATGTGAAAAGCAAAGCAGCACACGCTCCCCCCCGCCTGGCTCTGCGAGACGTGTTAAGCTTCAGCAAAGCGTTTACAGCATCGGGAGCTCTGACGATGCTCCGATCCTGCATCCCTGCTCCCGTGGCTGGATCGCTGCCTGTACCGGGGCGGAGAGGTTGAGATGGAGGGAGAAGAGTTTGGGATGGCGGGAGCAGGGGCAGGCCTTTTCCTTGCAGGTCAAGAGATGCATCCCAGTTTCCCGTGTTCCCTGAGCATCCCCGCAGCCAAATATCCTGGCTGCCTCTATGCCATACAACTGCTCCAGGCATCAACACACAGACTAAAAAATTTAAAGAATTAAAGTGTGGATTAAAGCATAAAATGTACTTTTTCTCTTCTACACTCCCTATATAATTCCCTCACCTATGAGGCCGGGATTGGGATGGGATTTGTCCAACTGAGCCCTAGCTGGCTGCTGAAGGATGCCGGCAGCAGGAAATTCTGTTGATATAATAAAAGAAATTTTACTGATCAAATAACATAAATTTTATTGACAGGACTCCTGTTCTTCTGCATCAACCCCTTCCTTACCTGGCCACAGGATCTTCCTCCTTCCTGCTGCGGAGAGCCTGGGATGAGCAAGTGGTTTCCCCAGTGGATTAAGAGTTAAATGAGCAATTGTTAAAGGGCGGAAACAATTGAGCCACCATGGAAGGCTGGGGGAATCTTCCTTCTTTTTGCAGGCAATTAAACTTCCCTGTGAGCTGCTGAGGGAAGGGATGGCCCCATCCATCCAACTGCTGCTGGTCCAGCTAGCGGGATTAACCCAGATTAAAGATCCCTGGGAAAACCCAGGGTTGGTTCCACACACTGACCCAGCTCTCCCCAACCCATTGAGTGTCTGAACTCACATCAACCCACAGGCTGACACCGCGAGTGTGACAACCCATCTGCCACCCCTGTGTCCCTCTTTGGGTGACAATCTGGCCCCGAGAGCCACCCCGTGAGGTTTGCCCTTTCGGAGAGCTGGATGATGGAATGGATGGGACCAGAGCACACGGCAGCGCTTGCTCCTCCCTGTGAAGCTGAAGCCACGCTGAGTGACAGAGGCCACACTGCTGGGCTGGGGACTGCTCACCTCCTGCCACTTCCCCTCCAGTCCGGGCAGTGACATTTGATGCATTTCTGATGCAGAAGAGACTCACATCCACCCCGACACAAAGCCAGGGCACCCCAAGCTCCATCACCCCGGGGGGAGCATCCAGAGCCTTGTGCTGCTTCCAAAGGCTCCAGAATCAGCCGCGCATAAAGGCAGATGCGATTATCCGCGCCGGCTGCCGCAGCCAGCCGGTGCAGCCATCCCCAGCGGCTCCGTGCTAGCCCCAGGCCTGGGGGAGGACACGGGGCTTGGAAAGCTCTTTAAAGCCTTGGGATATAATCTCTGCTCAGAATAATAAAAACATATAAAAATGCCTTGTCGCATCTGCCCAGGAAGCTCTTCACCGGCTTGGGCATGGAGCAGCCAGCACAGGGGCAGGATCTGGGGAGAAGGCTGCCTGAGGAAGAACTTGGCTGGGGTCGTGGCTCAGAATATCCTTAGAACCCCCAAAAAACACTCCCAATCAATTGCTCCAGCTCCTCTGCCTTCCCTCCCAGCCCAGCCCAGTCCTTCTTCACCCGCCACAAAAATCTATTGGAGAAAACAAGATTTTACGTAACAGCTCGTTCTGTGTTTTCCATGCACACAAAAAATAAAAAGATGGGAAGTGAAAACAAGGTCAAACCTTGCTTTGGCTGCCTCGTGTCCCCAGGGAGCATGGGGAAGGAGGGCATCACTGGAGCAGAGGAGGGGACACCCTGGCTCTGCTCCTGGGGGAGAGGGATGAGGGTCCCCAGCCTTCCTCGATGGCTCCAGGATCCCATGCTGGCTCTGGGTCCTGGGTTTGGCTGGAGACCCTCTTAGGGCTCAAATCACAAACCTGAGAGCAGAGAAGGCGGAGAAACTAAAATCAGCATTTATTAAAGACAATAAATTACATTCCCTTGAGATACAGTAGATTTTGAGACAAGTCCCTTGTTTTGCAGGACAGGCGGACCTCAGCACCCCGGACAAGTGACTGCTGGAAATATGGTTTGGATCTTGGGGTTGTCAGAGCCCTGAGGAGTGGAGCAGAGCATGCAGAATGCCAAGGATGTCTGTCCCTGAAGGTGATTGATTCCTGCTCAGTCGGACCCTTGCTGAACACTGCTCACACGCATGACAATGATGATGCAGTCAGTACCTGCCAGACTCCAGGTTTAGAAACAAAAAGCCTCATTCCCAATGCTCCAGCAGTGAGAGGGAGGGCTGGGACAGTGCAAAGGGGTGCTGGAGGCTGGATGAGCCGTAGTGGGTACAGAGGTAGAATGCTGGGTGAGGAAGGCACAGCAGAGCACCCCTGACCACCCTGAGCTCCCGGCTGGGATCCGTGGACCTGGGCTGTGTGGACGCTCCCCCAGAATTTGGGAGGTGGAAGAAACACCCAGCCAAAAAATCAGGGTGGATATTCTGCTGGAGCCCGGTGCCAGGATAAAAATACCCATCCCGTGGCAGCCAGCGGAGGGAATTAGAGTGGAATAACCCGCCCGCCGTGGAAGGGGAGGCTGCAGCAGCAGACGGTCGAGGCAGGGCTAGGAGGGAAACGAGCCCAGTGCCTGGCAGAGGAGGCAGATGGTCCTGTGGACCCCCTGGGGATGGGAGCCCGAGGGTGACTTCCGAGGTGTTACCCTGATGCGGTGGGGACGGAAGCCTCATCTTTCCGACGGCATCTCCGCACAGGGCAGCGAGCAGCATCCACTGGCCGGCTCCTGGGAATCACTGCAAGGTACAGGCTGTGCCGGGGGACAGAGGGGACTCACCTGGCTGCACACACCACTGTCACCCTGTCCAGGTGGGCTCCCAGACTTGGATGATGCCATGCTGGGGGTGGGGGCGATGGTGTGCGGGGTCAGGATCACCCATGGGCAGGGATATCCCCACGGCTGTGGCAGCTGGAGGGATATTCCCCGCCAAGTCTCCTCTGGGAAGGGGGACTCACCGCTCCGGATGGGCTCTGCCAGTGCCTCCTTGCCCACGGACTGTGCCTGCCGCATCTGCCAAGGGAGAGGAGAGTTTCCTGGCCTGCATCCCCGCTCAGATCCAGCTCCACACCAATCAACCGTACCTTGATCTGATCCTTCAGGCACTCAGCTCGGGCCATCAGCATCTGGATCTAGCAGAGAGAGAAAGAGATGACACGGTCTCTTTGGAGCCAGGTCAAGGGGGACAGGTGGGTGTCCCATGGCTGGCACTCACCTCCGCATGGAGCAGCTCCCGTCGCCGCCCTGCTGGCTCCGCTGCAGAGGAAAGAGGGACATGCCACAGGATGAGGCATGGGAGCAGGATCCATCCCTGCCCTCCAGCCCCCACCACAGCCCCAACTCACCAGCCAGGAGGAGCAGCAGCTCCCCCAGACTCTGCTGGTACAGCTCCAGGGTGTCACCATCATCCCCGCCTTCGTCCTCCTGCAAGAGATCCCGGGAGCTGGCTGCAGCTGGAGGATCCATCAGCTCCCTCTCCACCAGGTTTGCTCCTTCCCCTTCCACTTGAGGGAAGAGGGGACCCCCAAACCCACCCCTCACCTTGGCCATGGCAGCTGAAGCCATTTCCAGCGCTGCGCAGAGCCGAGGCTTGTCCTTGGCCATCTCTGCAAGGAGACATGGCAATGGGAATTGCCCAAAACATTCACCCTTCAGCCCAAAACCCCACCAGTGCCCCCTGACCACTCCAGCATTGGGGGATCCCCAAAAATCCATCACCTTTAAGGAGCTCTCTGGCCGAGTTCCCTTTCTCCAGTAGGTTCTTGTTGCTGGAGGTGACCAAAGCCTTCAGCTCCTCTGCTCGGGAGATGTACTGCCCCATCTGTGCACATTTGGGTGGTGAGGTGATGTCATGGGTGACAGAGGATGGGGGTGCAGACCCCTCCTTCCCAAGGATTTTTGGCTCACCTTGGCCCGGATGGCTTCTTTCCGCCGTGCATCGCTTTCATCTGCGGGGGAAGGCGACCAAACACTGGGGTGGGTGGGCTGCAAACTGGCCTCTCCCGGAGTGCTGACCCCCAAAACACACTCAGGGCACCCACAGCCCCCAAGGGGGACTCACAGTGCAGCGCTGGCACAAAATACTCCAGGGCTTTGCAGTAGAGGGAGAGGGCGGCATTGGCATCCCTCTCTTGATCCTTCTTCACTGCCTCCACCACCAGGTCAGTCTGGGGGACACAAGGTGGGGCTCAGGGCTCAGCCCCCCCACATTCCCAGGGTGCAGCCCCCCAGCTCCCTGCTCACCGCCTTGCCCAGGCTATCAGGGCCAGGGACGTGCTCCATGTCCACAAAGGGGTGGGCAAAGAAGCGCTCAAAGGAGATGCGCTTCAGAGGGTCCCTCTCCAAGAGCTGTCCCAAGAGATCCCGGCATTCTGGGGAGAGCTGGGGTCGGCTGGGAAGCTGGGGAGGGAAGGGGCTGAGACCACTGACCACTGTGAGAACTCATCCCATCCCATCCCATCCCATCCCATCCCATCCCATCCCATCCCATCCCATCCCATCCCACATTACCTTCACAACCTGGTCACTGCGAATCTTCTCCTCCAGCTCGGCGAAGGAGTGGGAAGCGAAGGGTGGCTCCCCAAAAAGTGCTTCTGCAGGAGGAGAAGGAGAAATGGGGGGAGATGGAGAGGGAGGAACTTGCCCTGAGTGGACCCCCGGAGAGATAAAAGCCAAAGCCCACCGTAAAGGATGACGCCCACCGACCACAGGTCCACGCGGGCATCGTACTGCTGGCGACACACCATCTCGGGGGCCATGTAGAGGGGGGAGCCCCGCAGGACGTGCTTCTCGTCCCATGGCGACATGTACTGCGCAAAGCCGAAATCTGGCAGGGACAGAGCTCATGGAGGGACAAGGAGAAAGAGTTCTCCCCCACCAGCCCCTCCCAGGGAGCTGCTCTGACCTGCCAGCTTCAGCTGGGGGTTCTCCGGAGTGCTCAGGAGGATGTTCTGTGGCTTGAGGTCCAGGTGGGAGATGTTGCGGTCGTGGAGGAACTTCAGGGCGCAGGCTGGGCAGGTGGATGGGCACATGGCAGTGTGGCCTTAACCCCTAAAACCCCTGGGGAGGGTCCCCAACAGAGCCAGTGTGGGAACCAGGCAGCGTGTCCTTACCGAGCTGCTGCAGGAAGATGCGTGCCACCTTCTCAGGGAGGATCCTGCGCATCCGGATGAAGCGGGAGAGGTCGCCCCCAGCGCAGAACTCCATGATCAGATAGATGTGCTCGCTGTCCCACTGCAAGGCAGTAAGACCCCATCATGCCACACCAACAAGTTCCACCCACACAGGTTTGCCTGGACCAGTTTGCCCAGTTGCTGCCACCAAGCCACACTGGTACACCCTTGGGAAGCTGGGATGGACCAAAGCCAGAGCAGTTTTGGCTCAGAGCGTGCCCCAGGCAGCCCCCAGCCCACCTGGAAGTCCTTGAGCTCCACGATGTGTGGGTGGCGGATGGTCTTGAGGATCTCGATCTCTGTCAGCAGGTTCTCCACGGACTCCCGGTTCAGGCTCCTCCTGCTCACACACTTGATGGCTACCACTTCACGCGCGTTCCTCTGCCAAGGACGGGGGTAACCCTGCAGCCCTCCACCCAAACAGCCATCCTGGGGTGCTCCCCCGGTCTGCCGGAGGGGGAGGGAAGGAACCCTTGCAAGGGGGCTGCAGGTCCCAGGCTGGGGCTATGGGGGATGTTCCCCATGTGGAGGGCCGAAAAAGGGGGGCTCCCACGGGAGCGGCGGGGCAGACTGAGGGGCAGGAGGGGCACCCCCGCGGCGGGCCAGGCCCTACCTTCCTGAAGGCCTTATAGACGGTGGCGTAGGTGCCGGAGCCAAGGCGCTCGGTAAGGATGAACTCGTCCAGGCGCGGCGGGGCCCAGCCGGCCCCGGCCATGGTCCCTCCGGACCCGGCCCACGGGGCCCGGGAGCCGCTTCCGCCTTCCCGGGGAGCCACGGCCTCGGGCACGCCCCCGACCCGCCCCGACAGTGCCACCCTCTGTCCCCGCCCCGCCCCGACAGTGCCACCTCTGTCCCCGCCCCGACAGTGTCACCCACTGTCCTGGCCCGCCCCGACAGTGCCACCTCTGTCCCCCGCCCCGACAGTGCCACCCTCTGTCCCCGCCCCGCCCCGACAGTGTCACCCTCTGTCCCCCGCCCCGACAGTGCCACCCTCTGTCCCCGCCCCGACAGTGTCACCCTCTGTCCCCGCCCCGACAGTGCCACCCTCTGTCCCCGCCCCGCCCCGACAGTGTCACCTGCTGGGCCCCCCACGGCCCCGGCTCCGCTCCAGACCGCGCCCCCGACCCGCAGGCAGGAGGGGCATCGCATTTTGACCACATATACATTTTATTAATAATAATTTTTTTAAACATTAAAAGATCAGACGCGGGGAAAAAAAAACCAAACAAAAACAGAACAAAAAACCAAACCAATAATACAGGAGGAAAAAGGTGTAAAAATGCTGATTTCTGGGTTCCAGCCCCCTCCGGCCACACACCAGCACAGGATGGGGGTCTAACACAACCCCCATCCTGGGAAATGGGCATCACAAAGCCAAATCTGCATTAAACCCCCTCCTCAATACCCAAGAAAATAGGGCTGAAGCAGGGAGCAGGGGGATCTGTCACCATCAACTCCTGTACCTCACCCGTGTCCCAAGGGACATCCCATCTCGGGATGCAGCTGAACACACATGAAACCAGTTGCTTCCCAGCTGGAAAAAAAATTAAACTTGGGAGGAGAGCGGCTGGGAGGAGTCTTTCCTGGAGAAAGATTCATTCAAGGTTAGCTGGAGAAGGACATTGTAGGCACTGTGTGGTGGCTGAAACAGTGTCTTCAGAGCTCCTGCTGCTCCAAACTTAGAGCTGGGAGTCAAACCAAAATCCCTTTTTCCCCCTCTCATTTCACTGAGAAGACTCAGCCTTCTCCCCCTCTCTGTGTCCAGAGCTGTCGCCAGCAGGATCCTTCTGGATCTGCCATGGGGGGACAAGGACATCCCTCCACACTCCCCCCACTGCTCCCACACTTTCCTTCATGCCAAATTATCCCAACTCTCAGAAAGCCAAGCAGTTACAAGGTCAAAATACATCATCGTGTGAGTGTAATAAACCAAAAGTACAGTTTCTGTTCTTAAAAGTAATGACAAACTACATGCACATTACAAAACCCCCCCAAAATACCAGATAATCAAATTCTTCGTAGCAAAGGCCAAAAGAAGAGAGAGTAAAATCAAAACCTGCTTCCCCTTGTCTTCCTGCTACAGACAGAGTGAGGGGAGGAAGAGACAAACACCTGGTAGGTCCTGGATAGAGAAATATATTTACTTCAGAGAATGTCTCCCTCATCTCCCCACACTCTATAATAAGACAGGGAAAACTAATCATCAAAACCGTAGCTCAGCTGAAGCTAAAAAACCTCTTCTCATCAGGAGTCGGCATCACAGAGCTCTCACATGGTACCCCCAAAAAGTGCATTTTTAGGGAAAAAAAAAAAAAAAGGAGTGATAAGGGCAGAGAAAACAAGGGGGAGGCAGCCCAGGAAGGGCTAGTTTTGCTGGGAAGGGCTAGTTTCCCCGGAAAGCACTCTGTGCAGCTGAGGAGGCTGCCCCGGCCGCTGCATTCTGGAAGCTCCTGTTGCTGAGGATGCCTTGGGAAAACTCTTCCTGGGCCCTTTGGAAACTGGCTCCTGTGCGCCGATACAGGGAATGCACCTGGGAACAAAAGGAGAAGGAAAAAATTTAAAAAGTCAGTGTGTAGCTGTGGAATTGCTGCATACACCTTGCTTTTCCTCGGCTCTGCTACTAACCAGCTCCCTTGACAGCCAGGGACTCCACAGCTCCCAGCTGCAGATTTCAGGAGACCCTCATTTGCTGTAAAATATGGAGTTTTCAGCAAAATCGCTGGTTTCAGACCCAAAACTCCACTCCCCACACTGCAACAGCACAGATTTAACCTGGCATTTACTGGAGGGCAGGACCTGAAGGTGCCAACAAGCATGAGGTGTTTCCTTCCAGATAAATGCAGGAGAAAAGAAGCAGCAGCCATAGAAACAGGATCAGTCCAGCCTGTCCTTGCCTTCCCCAAACCTCCATTTCTGCTGTTCCTGCAGCAATCCAGTCCTGGTGAGGTCAGGTAGGAGAAGGAAGGAGGGTTGTGTTTAGAAGCCAGCATGAAGGCACTTACTGGGATCCCACCAGGCTTTGAAAAGCCTCACAACAGTGAGCAGTGATTTTAAAGCCCCGGATACTGAACAGAGTTATGTTCATCTCTGCTCAGCCAGGTCCAGGAAGGACAAGGGGGAATGGTTTTAAACTGAAAGAGAGCAGGTTTAGATTCTATATTAGGAAGAAATTTTTTCCTGTGAGGGTGGTGAGGCCCTGGCACAGGTTGCCCAGAGAAGCTGTGGCTGCCCCAACCCTGGAAGTGTTCAAGGTCAGGTTGGATAGGACTTGGAGCAACCTGGGCTAGTGGAAAGTGTCCCTGCCCGTGGCAGGGAGTGGAACAAGATGGGCTTTAAGGTCCCTTCCAACTCAAACCATTCAGTGATTCTATGATTCTAAAGGGAGGCTACTTTCCTACCTCAAGTGTTCAGGAAATTTGGCATCGATGCAGGAAGCACAAGCAAAAATACTTTTGTAAAAATCCCTTGACCTGCCAATGCCCCGATCCCATCTTCGTTCCCAGACAGGTGAAAGGAGGCAGAAAACCCTGGGCATCCTGGGAGCAGCCTGACCTCCTTGCCTCCAAGCCACTCACCTGCTTCAGGAGGAAGAGGGAGAGAACGGCACACAGCGTGAAGAACGCTGCCACCACCATCATGATGACTGCCACGGCCAGGTTCCCCGCACCTCTGACAGCGCCGCGATCCATCCACTGCGAGGGAGAGGAGAGTGGGGTGAGCATGGACAGCATTCCATCACAAGACGGGATGGAGCAGTGGGGGAAGAGGCACCCACGGTTGCACAAGAGCTTCAGGGGAAGGGTACAGGGAAGTACAAAACCAGACAGCTGTGAAAACAGGAACACAGAGCTCATCCAGGCCCTCGTTTTGGGGGAGAGTTTCCACTGTTATTTTTAGATAAGGATCGTGTTCATCCCACCCACATTCTAGTCCTGGACCACCTCCCTTAAGCAGGAAAATCAATACCCATGGCGCCACCAGTGAGTTCCATAAGCTCCTTCTCAAAATTCAGCCAAGTGGGGTAAAGATAGGCTGGAACAGCTAAATTGGAAGAGATCAGCTGGCAGGTCTGGAGCCTGGATCTATGTGTCACCCTGACAAGGATGACAGCATTGGGAAGGAAGGAAGGAGAAGGAAAGGAAGTTGGTGAGGCCCTGGCACAGACTTCCCAGAAAAGCTGTGGCTGCCCCACCCCTGGAAGTGTGCAAGGCCAGGTTGGATGGGGCTTGGAGCAGCTTGGAATAGTGGAAGGTGTCCCACAGCAGGGGCATGGAATGAGATGGGCTTTAAGGCTCCTTCAAACCCAAACCAGTCTGTGATTCCATGATTCTAAGTTAGAGCTACAGAAAGGAGGAAATTAGGAGTTGTTGAAGGGAAGGAGCAAAGAGGATGCTGGGAATTACCAGAGCTTGGCTGTGGGTGAAAATACCAAGACATCTTACTCAAAACACCCTCTTGGGCACTGGAGAAAGGAACCTTTCCAACTGCTAAACCAAACATGCCATGAGCCACTGGGAGAGGGGGAATTAAGTGAGCCAAACCATCCCATCTGATGTGCTGCACAGCTTCTCACTCGTCACAGGGAAGTAGAAAGGCACACCATGCACTGCAGCCAAAAATATACGAGCTGTCTGGTGGGAGGAAACGGAGCAGAAAGCTACAGGCAGGCTCTCCTAGCCAGACTAAACCCAGAGTGCCCCCTCCCCGTCTCCCGTGACTCAGGCAGCAGGGAGAGACGCCGAGGACATCTCTGCCCACAAGCCCTTCTGCAGGCAGCAGGCAAAAATAGACAGCAGCTTCACTGCTCACCTGAAGGCTTCCCCTCAGAAAAACCACGAGCTGTTAACCTTTTCCCCATTCTCCGTAACTCCAGAATCTGATGTGTGGCCAAGGCAGCAAGGCGAAAGGAAAGGCTGTGCTTCCCCTGCAGGGCACAGCTGCTGACACGAGGCTGCTGGACCCGCTCCAGAAGCCCGGGCTCACCCTTCTGTACAATGTCACTGAGAAAGGGTGAGGGTAAAAACTCTCTCTGCTTGTTTTTTTGAAGCACTGCCTACTGACAACACACTCCAGAGAAATTCAGGAAGAGTTTGGGGACAGAGTCAGGCTGGTAGCAGCAGTATCAAGCTAAGCCACACCCAGATTCCAGGTGAGAGGTCCCTCAGCCCCACACTACCTCTATCAGGGCAGGCTCCAGTTTAACACAAGGCAGACATGGTCAACACTAGAGGCTCAGCATCAAGAAGGAGCAAATACGATCCGTATTAAGTGAGGGAGAAGGCAGCAGAAGGGGCATGGAAGAGTCATCACAGAATCCCAGAATGTCTTGGCTTGGAAGGGCCCTTAAACCCCATCACATTCCACCCACCCTGCCATGGGCAGGGGACACCTTCCACCAGACCAGGTTGCTCCAAGCCTCATTGAACCTGGCCTTCAACACGTCCAGGGATGAGACAGCCACAGCTTTTCTGGACAAACGGTGCCACAGCCTCACCACCCTCACAGGGAAGGATTTCTTCCCAATATCTAATTATTCCCATACTGCCCTCAGCACTGGCCATGGCAGCAGCAGCAAAGGAATACACCTTTGCTGTGACTAGGATGGAAAGAGCAGAGCAGGGACGCAGCCCAGCTGGGAACTGCCAAAGCTGAGCATGGGCTGAGAGAGGAAAACCACGGGAGAAAGAACAGGCAGCTGTCAGAAACAGGCTCCAAAGCTCCTGACAGTCACAGCCCTGGTGAGAAAAAGGATCTGTGCAAGGCTGGGACAGAGCAGCCAGTGAAACCAAGCTTACCTGTCTCCCCAGCCAGGAATGCCAACAGCCTGGATGACGTAGATCGCTATTTGGCAGAAGAAGACAAAAAAGAAGACGAAGAAGCTGAAGGAGCTGTCAGACCTGCGGGAGAGATGGCAGCAGGAGTGAAACCCATGATCCCTGCACAGACTCCCTGCTCTAAGAGAACGGGAACAATTTCAGTGAACTCCTTTCTCCAGGGAAAAGCTGCTGAGGGGAGGTGATTTGGGGAGGAATTTGCGTACCCATAAACTTATGTGTCCACTGCAAATCCAATGCTCTGCCCAGTGCAAGATAAGGTGAAGGCAGCTCCCTTAATACATGCACTGTGCTCAACATTAATGTACCAAACAGTGTCTCAGAAATGAATAAAATTAATAAAAAAATGAATTAAAACCCCCAGATGACTGGCTAGGCTTGGATTTCAAGATGAAAAAGGATCACCATAATTAAGTTGTATCAGATAGATCTAATATGTTTAGAAACACAGTGGGTTTGACTTATCTAATGATGCGAAGAGCTGGAAAAATCCTGCAGGCAATATATGACAGGAACAGATAAACCCAAAGCTCCTCCCCTAAAAGATACATCCCTTTTACAGGAAAAAAAAAAACCAACAAAACAGTACTTGCCTGAAAGCCTTGTAAATTGGTCGGTACCAACAGAGAAAGGCACAGGGGGTGAATAAAATTAACCAAAGAATCGAGAGACCGAAGTCTACCCCTCTGTTTTGATCAGCTGTGAACCACGCCAGACAAGCGAGCAGGTTTAGGAGCAGGGTAATGGAATGCACTGTTTGGGGTGGAAGAGAGAGAAAAAAAACATCAGTAAGCTCTTGGAAAATCTGAAGCATCCCTAATCTCTCACTGAACACACTGAGCGCTGCAGAAATTAAGGAGACTTCAGGCCATCTCATTTCATTGCCTCCCTTGGAAGGTAAACATAGCTTAACCTAAAAGCTCATCTGATCCTGCTGCTTACAGCCAAATCTGAAATAGTTGTTCAAGTCTCCATTAAACAATTAAAATTCTGTCATGAATAAGCTATTCCTAAAGCGTAAACTTGGAGTTCTTCACATTTGTCTTCATAAAAAAGGAGGGAAACATGACTTCACCCTTGCAGACAACACTGATAGAATTTACTGTGTGACAAAGCTCAGCTTTTGATACAGAACCTTCTTAGAAAGATTTTTTTATTGCAGCTCAAGTGGTTACTTACACATCCACAAGTAATACAGCATCTTGCATATCCGCTGGTAGTCAGCTGGGATGTCTGCAGAAAAATCCTGATAAAAACACGGCTTGATGGGACACTTCTTGGGAAGGGGGGGCCAATTGTTCTGCCTCGCTGTGGAAGAAAGAAAGGAGCAGCTTTTCACTTGCTCTTCTCTCACTGAAAGACTAATTCACACTCCGTAATTTCCAAGTGCCCATTCGGATATTGTTTAATTCATATATTAAAACTCTGGGAGAGCTTCAGGGGTTGCTCAGAACCTATGTTTGAGCAGGCAGCACAACAGGAATGTGATAAACTGCTGGCAGAGCAGGGCAGACCAACTTAGATTAGGAGTTTTCCTCTGGGGAAGGCAGAATTCCCCTGCAATGGCCAAAGGGCCATCACAAGCATCATCACTCAGCTCTGCAAGTCCAGATTCAGTCTTTTAAAACCAAGATTAGGGGGGAATATTGGTTTACTGAGCTTAAAAGAGCCTCAAGAATGAAAAAAATCCTCTGTTGCTCTCAGGGAAAAGTCTTAACGTGGCAACAGCTCCAACACAGGTACAAAATTGGTGTTTGAGAACTTTTTGTGGTGAAATGCAGCTGCTGAGAGCACACTCAAGGGCAGGGACCCACCAGAGCTGGCCCTGCCTCTGAGCTCCTTTCTCATCTTGGAGCCTACGGGATGACAGGTACAGTCACAGGATGGCTGCCACAGCTGTGAAGGACTAGAGGAAACCCTAAAAAAGCTTCTAGAAGAGCTGTGTACACTTGGAACAGGCTGAGCTTTCCTGAAATCCTGATAAACCAAGCAATCCAGGCTTCCCTGGGCATGCCTAGGGACAGCAGGCAGGACGCAGTACTCACGGTTAATGCTGGCTGAGTTGCTCTGCAATTCCCTTTCCTTCTTCTCCAGCTCAGCTGCCTTCCTCTCTAACTCTGCCTGCTGCTGAAGCAGCCCGGCCTGTGCTGCTGCAGCCACGGCCTAAAGCAGGGGAGAAAGAGGTTAGTCCTGCCCTAAGCCAGGCAGTTATGTCACCACCAGCAAACACACCAAACTGGAAGGGAAGTAGGGCAGAGGACAACATGAAAGCTCAGTCTTAAACATCTTAACTCTTTCTGCCTTACAAGCTGAGGGACAAGATCAAGATCGGTGCAGAACTCCACCCAGATGTCCCTCTCTTATCCCTATCCTTATTCTACAGGAAGATAGGGCTGGAAGAGCACTCAGGAGGCTTATCCACTCCATTCTCCATCCTCTGTGTCTTTCCCTTCACTGAAGCTGTGCTTTTCTCACAGCTTCTACCTCACAGGTCACCTCATTGCTCCGGGCACCTCACAACTGAGCAGTGAGCAAGACTCCTGGGCTTACCAGGACAATTCCCAGCTAGGACAAGAAAGGCAAGACAGTTGGCTACCACACCTCTTAAGGATCTCTTCTACCTGTTTTGTATTCTGAGAACTGATCCTTTCTCCCAGCAGACTCAGCCTCTCAGCTCTTTGCATGAGGTGGTCCTGGCAGTCAGGTATTTGCATTTATGCTCCTGGCACTGAGTGTGTCTGACCAGACACTACAACTAAGCTGAAAACATTAGCAGGATATATTCCATGAGTTTCCAGAGGGAAGCCAGAGACAACAGGACACAAGGCAAAGCAACCTCTGCCACCAGAGGGACGGGGAAAAAGGCATAAAAAGAACTGCGTGTGTGTATTCCCCATAAAGCTCTGCTTCCCAAAAGGAACTTGAAAAGATCACCTGCAGCTTCCCACACAAACCCCAGAGAATCCCATTCCCCTCCTGTTCCCAGAGGCCTCTGGGGGCTCCTGGAGGCTGGGGAGGCAGCAGTGAGGAGCTGCCATACCTGGGGAGTGGGCTCCACGGACGTCTGCAGAACAGCCGGCTGCGAGTGGCCCGAGGGCTGCACGGCCGGCGTCGTCCGGGCTGCATTTGTCTGCACAGAAATCACAAGCAACAAGGTAAAAACATTGCAGGAGAAACAAAAAGGGATTCTGATCAATTTAAACCACACATCTTGGTTCCCCCTTCTCCGTCGCCCATCTGGCTCAGGGCAGCAGCCAGGGAATAACAATGCAGCTCTCCCAGCGATCCGTCAGTGGTATTGCCATGGCAGTTCAGCTCCCAACCCAGGAACCAAATACATCCTGATGTGTCCTGCCACAAACCATCTTCCCCTTCACATTTCATATGGCTTCCCTGTGAGTCAGCAGCCAGCTGGAGAGAAGCTGTTCCACGTGAGCGGAGAGCTCCAGCTGGGAGTTTATTAGTGGTCCAGTGCAGCAGCAGTTGCTTGCAGCTTGCCACACACACCATGAGTTACATTCCATGGAGAAATCAGCTGTGAATTCCTCTTTTCTTAAATTGCACCTACCCAAGGACCTTCTACACCATTAAAACCACCACAAGACACACAGAGCACAGACACGTGGCACATACCAGCTGGGAGCTCTCGGAAAAGGGGTTGAATTCATCCAAGCCACTTTGGCTGGCATTTGTGAGCTGTGTCACTGAGGGATCCTGAAGGGAGAGAGCACAAGGATCAATCAGCATCAGGTATAGGGCAACATCACTTATATCATCAAATTGTTCAGGTATGAAAAGGTCTTTAAGATCACTGAGTCCACATTTCCCACGCTGCTGGCCTTCCATCTGCTCAGTGGCTGGGAATTGGATGGGGTGAAACACAGGCTCATCACAGGTGGATGGCCTTGGCAGGCATGGAATTTAAATATCCAAGGAAATGACTATCAGCAAGGCAAGGTTTGTGGGCAGAAATAAACTCCTGTTCAGCCAAGAGGTACATCTGAACAACTACAACACGCTTTTGGCACAGGAACCCTTTGTGCAGGTTACTACCGCTTACCAACAGAAAGTTATTTCTAATTTCCAGGGATCTGGATTCATTCATCCATGGTCAGAATGCTGCTGGACAGCCAGGACCACCTCCCAGACCTCACCTGCACCTCATAAAGCAAGCACAGAGCCACAAAGTACAATAGAGCTACACAAAATGAGGTTCTAGATACAACTCGTCCCAGCTGAGAGACGTCAGCAAGCTCAAACACCAACAATTGCTCTGAAAAGGCAAAACTCCCAGGAAAATCAAGTTGGAGATGTGACACCAATTATTTTAGGAGGTTTTAATGCTGCTAACATAACATCTGTGTTCACTTTTACTCACAGCATCTCCCACTTGCCTCCATCAAATCCTCTGATATTTAAAAATAGCCACTCTGCACATCTGAGAACACCTTTGTCCCCTCACCTGCAATGCATGCAGCTATTTTTATCTCCTCTTTTCTACATACTACATTCCAAACAGAGATTCCTCTTTGACAGCCAGATGTTGACCTCGGGAGCGCTCCTCTCCCCAGTTACTACAGAACCAAGATCCTTTTTAAAGCTCTTAAATCCTCCTGCCAGGCAACCCAAGAGCTGGGTGTGGGTCAAAAAATTAAACAGTGGCTTTGTATCCCTCCCTCAGCAACTCGTGTGTCCAGATCAGTCATTCTAATTTGGTGCTTAATGGGGCGAGAAGCCACTGAGGCTGCGCCGAGGTGAGAGTGAGCAGTGCAGGGGCTGACAGAGCCCAGGAAAATCCCTCTGGAGCCATTCCCGGGGTTTTAGCGTAGCCTTCTGCCGAGCAGGATACACACAGAGCAGTTAATGAGTAACTCCTCCTCGACAGCAGGCACTCCCTACCAACAGGTTGCACTAGTTTGTGAATCACCCTGGCCGAGGGATCGCAGATGAGGAGGATCTGAAAGCTGCTCGGCGAAGCACAACTCACCAGCAAGAAGGGGCTGTACAAAATAGGAAGCACCAGCAGAACTGCCATGCTGGAAGTAAAACTTGTGCCTTTATTTCGCTACTGACTCCTCTGGAAGCTTCAGCTTCACCAGTTTTGCAGAGACACGGGCTGTCAGCACAAGTTTACACGTCACTTAGTGCACAATAGCTGCCGCACACCAGCACAAACCCTTTAATCCCGAGCAGATGAGGCCCCAGCCACGCCGAAGTCCAGCAAAAAACAACACGAGGAAGAGAAACTCCCTTAAAGGCATGGGAAGTGGAAAGTGAAGACTGCATAACCTTCTGAAGAGCCTGAATGGTCAAGCTGGGAGGAAAGTGCTCAGAAATAAGGAGAAATGCTACAATACCACAGTAAAACACACGATCTGGAGGCTCATCAAGGGCAGGAGAGCAGCACCCCTGGTTCTCTGCTCCCAGCTGCACAACAGTTTGATTTCAAAGGCAGACAAGCTCTCATCCTGCACAGCTTTAAAAAAAAAAAATCACTTAATTATGTGGTAAGGGTAAGGCGCAGCAGCTCAGCTTAACTGGCCGGCCATTGTTCAAGTGTGTCTAAAATAGAAACCCAAAGAGCAGGGAATTTGCAACAAAGCTGAAGTTTTTGGTCACGTGCCTCTGTGCTCTGGATAGGGCAGGAAGGAAAACAGAGGGTGACACACAGACAACCAGCTTCCACGAGCTCAGAGTAGGCAGTGTGAAGGATGAGTAAGCACCAGGAACGCAGAGACAAACGAGACGCTGCCCACAAACTTCATGTTTTACAATTATTTTCTGTAAGCTACGCAGCAAAAGGCAGCTGACCCTCTTGAAACAAGCACAGGCCTGATCCTCAGAAAGGATCAGGAAACAGGGTCTTAATTCAGCCACAGAACCACTTGAAGCCACAATTCAGCCACAAACCTCATGTTCACAAATCAGTGATTGGCTTGATCTGCAGGATGCCAGCGAGCAGATCCCATTTGTTGCCCTTCCAACCACCGCTTCCTCAAGCACCAGGGATGTGTGACATCATTTTTCATGGCTTCAAATGCCCAAGTGCAGAAAAAATATATGTTTGGACCAAACTACACTGACATGAAGATTAAAATAATTTTCAAACGCAGTTTAACACAAATACAAGTTGCTGTCGTGCTGTGCCGGCTGCTAAAATGTCGTGATACAACAGGTTTGTGCAGGAAATTCTATTCTTTCATTTCTTTTTTTTCCCCACAGATTAAAGAAACAAAATGAGATGAATCTCTAGATGAGATCAAGGCAAAAGAACTCAGCTGAGAATCACCTGGAACTTAACACAGTTGTCTAAATATCACAGTATTGCCCCAAATATCACCAGTCCTGCAGAATCAGAGTGCTGCCACTGCCTGGAAGATGCACTGAGAAATCCCAAGGATTTTATTATTGATATCTCTAAAAAGAATGGAGGTTTCCAGCTCTGCCTGAAGCTTGGATCAAAGTTTTGGAGGCAGCTGCCACTTCTATCAGGTTCCTGGATAAACCAAGGCAGTTAATCATCTCTCATTAACCAGTTACAATAAGTAACAGAGAAGCCAGCGATATTTTTAACAGGACCAAAGCAGCCTATTTTATACCAAGTTTAACAAACACTGTGAACAAAGTCTCCTTAAAAGGCAAAGCTCCTCATCACGTCAGTATTTGAAGGGTATGAAGCATTACACTGGGATCCCCAGCAAGGAGAGAGAACCCTGGTGCTGTGACAAGAGAGACCCATCAGTGTGACAGGACTGGGAGGGTGCAGATGCTTCTAGTCTTTCCAGTGCGTGTGGAAGGGGATGTCAATGGGCAACTGTTGCCCCAGCACTGAGCCAACACCTGGATCCAAGCCCCGACCCGGAATGGGCTGTCCCACATCCTGAGACTCCATTCCAAATCAGAGCAACAAGGCTTTGAGACTCAGGAAAGCAGCAGTTGGAGATTCCTCATAACCAGCTGCTGAGGACTTGGGAATTTTTTCTTTAAAAAAAATCCTGAAAGGAGGATATAGAACCTGCCACAAAGACCAGATGAGCTGCAAAGAGCCGTCAGACAGGGGCATCCGTGGTGTTATTTCCCATTAAAAAGTGGGCCTGACATGGGAGTTACCTGCTGGAGATCACCTCCAACCTTTTTTGTTTGAATAGTGAGTAAAGTGTGAGCACAGCCCTGTTCAGTCTGAGATCAGGGCAGCTTTAATGAACACAAAGCAGGTGAAGGGGACCTGAAGTGAGCTGACAAGAAAGCTGGAGAGGGACTTTTTACAATGGCATGGAGTGACACGACAAGTGGGAATGCCTTCAAACTGACAGGGTGGAATTAGATTTGATATTAGGAGATTCTTCCCTGTGAGGGTGGTGAGATTGCCTAGAGAAGCTGTGGCTGTCCCATCCCTGGAAGTGTCCAAGGCCAGGCTGGACTGGGCCTGGAGCAACCTGGGATAGAGGAACACATCCCTGCCCATGGCAGGGAGTGGAACGAGATGAGCTTTAAGGTCCCTTGCAACCAAAAACATTCTGTGGTTCTATGAATATTGACTTCCTCAATGCAAAAGCAACAAATGCTGACATGAACAGCAATATATTCCACCCCATGGAAGGAATATCACAGGAACATGGTTATCCCAACCCTTCCCATTCGTGAGACTCATAAGAGCGTGCTAAAATGAAAGTGAGGAAGAAAAGGATTTTTTCACCCTGATTCCTCAAAACACTCAGCCTCCTGAACAAACAGTTTCCGTTTGGCTTGGCCCTGAAATCCGAGGTCAGGAATCATTTCTTCCTGGGTATCACATCTCAGCCAAGCAGTAAAGGTGAGGTTAAGCTCACAGATAGGAGCCAAAGGCCAGACACTCATTTTCACACATCCCTGCACAGGCTCCAGGTCCCAGAGGCCACTCCAGGCCAAATCCCTGCATATATGACCTATTTTCAGAGCACGGAGGTTAACCCAGAGAGGAGAAACTCAGTGAACACAGATCAAGTCCTCAGCGTCCTCAACAGGAATCCCATGCTTTGGGCCCTGAAATCCTCAGTCAAACAATGCCTTAGGGACTCACTGTTTAGAGCTGAAGCGCCTTAAAAACAGACCCAGGAAGACCCACAGCAGACAGCACACCCAAGAGAGGTTCGGCAACTGATTATTTTTAATAAGCCCATAAATTAGGGCTTATTCACGGCTGTTTTGGCATCCTGAGAGGCAGCAAAACCCCTCCCCACAGCCTGGAGAAGCTGGGGGTGACCGGGTCTGGCAGCCTGGGCCAGGGAAGAGATGGGGGCTCCGAGGAGGTGGCGGTGGGAAGGATCCCATTGGCACTGGGCAGAGCCGGGGGGACCCCGGTGGGTCACAGCGCTCCTGCGTGACCTGCGGGGGTACCGGGGAGGGGCTGCGGGACCCCCAGCCCTGGCTGGACGGGAGACACGGCGACGGGGAGCGGGATCCCTTGTCCTGGCCGGAAGAGGGGCTCGAGACCCCTGTCCCGGCTGGAGGGGGGTGCAGGGAGGAGGAGAGGGACCCGTGGCTCGCTCCCGCCGGGGGATAACGGAGGGACCGGGACCCCCATCCCGGCCGGAGCTGGGTCGGGAGGGTGCGCCCAGACCGCCCTCAGGGCGCGGGGGACCCGCCCCCTCTCGCTGATTGGCCGCGGCGCGGAGAAGCGGCAACGCCATTGGCCAGCGGCGCTTCAGTCAGTGCCACGTCCCGGCGGCGGCGGGCGGGGACCCGGGGGGGGCCCGGGCCGGGCCGAGTGAGGCGGGTTGGGGTCCGGCCGCGCATCGCGCCCCACCTGGAAGGGGTTGATGTCCACCGGGTCGGCGAACGGGTTGGTGTCGAAGCCCGACATAGGCGCGGTCCGCTCCGCTCCCGCCGCCGCCGCTCCTGGCGCTTCCGGGGCACCCGCGTGACCGGGGAGCCGCGTGACGTCACAGCGGCGCATGTACCTCGCGCGGTGTTAACCCTATGGGCGTGGCCGCGTGACGTCAGAGTGTCGCTTATAGCCGGGGGGGAGGGGGGTGAGGGCGGGAGGGGGAAGGGAAGAGGGGACAGACCTGCCCGGCCGAGCCATGGCGGAGATCCGGGGTGAGCGGGGCACGGGGGAACAGCCCTGGGAATCCCCCCAGGACGATGGGACAGAGGAACCGTGACCCCTGCCCGCAGCCCGAGCATCCCGAGATCGCCATATGATGACTGAAAATCGCCCCCTCATACACTCTGCCCTCCCAGGCGCTTGGTCCCCTGTCTCCCTGATGCCCTCTCACCCTGCGCTGGGGGCTTTGGCAGTGCCTGGAAGGGGTTTGGGGGTTATTTCTGTTCCCCGTCTAACATTTTACTACTCTCCCGTAGTGTTCCCCCTCTCCTGCGCGGTGCAGAACTACTCCTGGGGCAAGGTGGGCCTGGAGAGCGAGGTAGCCAAGCTGCTGACCAGTGGTGACCCCCTGGTCCAGATCCAGCCTGACCGGCCCTACGCTGAGGTGAGTGCATCTGTGTGTCCATCCCGTGCTCGTGTCTGTCACACCCCTATGTCCCACCCACCCCGCTGTGGCTCTCACCATCCTGTATCCCGTCGAAATGGGATCCTGACCCGCCCCCCGTCCTCCTGGGGGGCTGCCCGGGTTGAAGAGGACAAGCCTGGCGTGATTCAGCCTCCGAGGGAGCTGCCTTGGCTGCGTGGATCACCTGTGGGGCCAAGCAGCCTCTAAAAAAGCCCAAGTCATCCGTGTTGGCTGCCCAGCTCAGGGTTCCGTCAGTCTGTCTGTGTCTCACAGCTCTGGATGGGCGCACATCCCCGGGGCGATGCCATCATCCGGGACAACCGCATCCCCCAGAAAACCCTGGGCCAGTGGATCGCCGACAACCCCGCCTGCCTGGGGACAAAGGTGAAGGACACCTTCCAGGGACAGCTGCCCTTCCTCTTCAAGGTGCTCTCGGTCGATACTGCCCTCTCCATCCAGGCACACCCCAACAAGGTAGGGGGAGCCCCAGATGGGCAGCCTGGCGGGACCCCGTGTCCCTGGGGATGTCACCCAGCTTCTCTCCCCCTCTCCAGGAGCTGGCGGCGAAGCTGCACGCCCAGTTTCCTGAGCACTATCCTGATGCCAACCACAAGCCTGAAATGGCCATCGCCCTCACCCCCTTCGAGGGCTTGTGTGGTTTCCGGCCTGTGGAGGAGATTGTCTCCTTCCTCCAGAGTAAGGATGAAGGGTGCATAGTCAGAGCCCAGGGAGGGGTTTGGGGTGGGGATGGGGGCTGTGCTCCCTTGGGATGGGGGTTGGGATGAGGATGATGCTCCCTTAGGATGGGGTTCAAGGTGGGAGTGGTGGCCATGCTCCCTTGGGATGGGGCTCAGGGTGAGGATGGAGGCCACGGTCCCCTGGGATGGAGTTTGGTGTGGGGACGGGGGTTGTGCTCCCTTAAGATGGAGTTCACTTAAGGGTGAGGGCACTGCTCCCCCGGATGGGGTTTGGGGCAGAGATGGGGGCTGTGCTCCTCTGGGCTGGGGGTGCTGATCTGACTGGGGCTGGCCCCTCACAGACGTCCCCGAGCTGCGGGCGCTGATCGGGGAGGTGGCAGCGGAGCAGCTGGAGCGCAGTGGGAGCGACGACCCCCGCGGTGTCTCGGCCGCTCTCCGCGTGTGCTTCACCCGCCTCATGAAGAGCGAGAAGAAGTTCTTTGTTGACCAGCTGAACATGCTGGTGAAGAGGATCTCCCAGGAAGGTGGGTCCTCGCTGTGGCCCCCAAAACAATTTTGGGGTGGTGCTGTGTGTAGGGTGGGGCCAGGGCACACCTGGCTCCCTTCCCATGTTGTGCCTGGTCTCTTCCCATGCAGCAGAGGAAGGGAAGGACACATCAGGGAGCAATGGGGAACTGCTGCTGCGGCTGCACTCCCAGTACCCAGGAGACATTGGCTGCTTCACCATTTATTTCCTGAACCTGGTGAAGCTGGAGCCAGGGGAGGCCATGTTCCTGGGAGCCAATGAGCCCCATGCCTACCTGCGTGGAGGTGAGTGTCACAGGGGACCTCCTAACCCACCATCCCGCAAGGACTGGCCACGGGGACACATGGAAGGGCTGGGGTGGGCTGACAGCACTGCCTCATCCCTGCAGACTGTGTGGAGTGCATGGCGTGCTCAGATAACACGGTGCGTGCCGGGCTCACCCCCAAATTCATCGACGTGCTCACCTTGTGCGAGATGCTCAACTACACGCCGGCCCCCAGCAGCTCCAAGATCTTCCCAGCCGTGCAGAGCCAGCTGGATCCCAACGTCTATGTCTATGACCCGCCCGTGCCAGACTTCGCCATCATGAGGATAGAGGTGAGCGGGGACGGGTCCGTGTTGGGGGACACTTCTCGTCTGGACTCCGGGTAGGACGACTCAGTGCTGGCTAGGTTTCACTCACCTGTGTAGTTAGTGCCCAGGTGAGGGGGGAGGGATGCTTGGGAATGTGATGTTTGTCTCTTTATCCCTCCCCTGTTCCCCTGCCTGGAGCTCGTTCACCTTCTCTAGCAGCTCCGGACAGAGGGAGAACCAGGAACAGATCTTGTGTCCTCAGCCAAGCTGAGGCCCCTGGGCTTGGGCTGCTGCAGGGCAGCAAAGGGGTGGGAAAGGGGATAACCCCCTCCCAGGTCTCTGTAGAGGAGGAAAGCTGGGGGAGACTCCAGCCACAGTGACATTTTCCTCCGCAGATCCCTGCCTCCATCAAGCTGTACCTCATCTCTGCCGTGGACTCTGCCAGCATCTTGCTGGTGATCCAGGGGACAGCTGTGGGCACCTCCACAGCGGCAGCCTCCGAGATGTCTCTGTGTCGTGGCTCCGTGCTCTTCATCTCAGCTAACGAGAGCATCTCCCTCCACCTCTCCTCGCCGGATGGGATGCTGCTCTTCCGAGCCTGCTGCCTCCTCTGAGACACTTCTGTCTCCTCCTGGTGGAACACTTCCTCCCCATCACTCCACGTTTGAGTAGATAGAAACTGGTGTCGGCAAAGTCATCTCGCTTGGAAGTTTCCCCTCCATCTATTAAATCCCAAACCAAGCCCTGATGTTTAGAAAGAGCAATTCTATAGACTGACTCCTCGGATGTGGCACAGGGCTTTCTGCAGCTTCTGGCGGGCTCTTCCAAGCCTGGCTGATGGCAGCCAGTGTCGCCCCTTCCCTGGCTGTAAAAGGGGGCTGCTTGGCAGGCTTGTGGAGTGGGAAAGCTTCCGATGCCTTGAATAAAGAGGTGACTTTGTCCTCAGTGCAGGGCAGCGTGGTGCAAGGAGCAGGAGGAAGACGGGAGTGGGGGACTGGAGGAAACACTGGGAGCAGCTCCAGCTGTAGCTCTCCCACCACTGGTTGTTACCCCCCTCGCTCCTCAGGGGAGCAGGAAATGAGTAAAATGTGATGAGGGAAAACAGATCGCTCTGAAATCCCACCAGTCTGGGAAGAAGCCCTCTGGAACAGGGCTGCTGGGAGGAGCAGGGCACCAACAGCCTGCAAGTAATGAGATCCAGTTTATTGAGTGCTCCCTTTAACAAGTAAAATACAAAAACAAAACCCCCAAAGCAAACAAAACAAACAAACAAACAGATCCTAATAGTTCAGGTCTCTAGACATGAAACATTTAAATAAGGTTTTCTGTATTGAAGAAGCTGATTGTCCTCTAGGTTGTAGAGCAGGACCATGGTTTAAGGCAGCTTTTAAGGTTTGCAGCAGAGTCCCCAGCCCCCCACATCCAAACCCTGTGTGGAGCTGGTATGGGGGTCTGGACAGTCCCCCACCTCCATCAAAGCAGCACTGGGGAGAACAGGAACAAGCCATTAGCTCCAAACCCAGCACCTCCTAACTCCTTCCCTTTACACCCCTACGGAGGTGCCAGGCTCTGCCTCTTCTTTCCCACCCCAGCAGGTGAGAGATCCCATCCAGACCACCAAAATGTCACCATGTCACCTCTCCCTGATATTGCTGAGTGTGAGGAAAAGTCCTTTGGGGTCAGTTGGTCTCTGCCATAAGCAGAATATTTCAGTCATTGTGTCACCATCCCAGCATGGGATGCAGAGAGCAACAGCCATCCCGTGGGACAAAGAAAGTGCTGGATTTTGACCTGTTCTTGTGCAGCTATTGGATCACACATGAGAGATTTTCCCCGAAACAACAGGGGCAAGAAGAGGAGGCAGCTGGTTTTGGGGGGATGAGATCCAGGTCTTCATCATCGGGGACCTCGTCAAGGTGGTACCCATCCTGCAGCAGCTGCCGGCTCAGGTCCTGGTTCACCTGCTGTGGGGGGACAAAGCGGAGCTCTGCAGGGTGGGACACACGCATCCACACCCCCTGGGGTTGTGCTTCCAGCCCCTATCCAGGATCTCAGGCTGTGAGGGGAACAAGGGAGCGCGTGGGGACCGCACCGTCAGAGTCCAACACCTGCACTTGCCTCGGCGGAGGAGTATCCTGAGGAACATCTGGATCCTGGCTCCCCGTCACTGAGGGAAAAAGGAAACAGCTGGCCAGGAAATAACCTTGGAAATGAGCCTTGTGTTAACTGCAAGGGATTTGTTAAATTTGGGACAACGGGAGCATTTCACAGGAATTTCACAGAATATTCTGCATTGGAAGGGACCCACAAGGATCATGGATAACTCTTAAGTGAATGGCCCATTCAGGGATCAAACCCACAACCCTGGTGTTTTATTAGCACCGTGCTCTAAAGCAACTGAGCTCATCTCCATTTCACTGCTCAGAGGTGCTCAGTGCTCTGTAGGTGACAAGGAAAATCAATCCCCAAACTAAAGCCAGCTCTGAGCACCCTCCACCAGAAATCCTGGGATAATCACCCAAAACTCCTGGAATATTCACCTGTCTGAGTCGAGGGAGACCAGGTTCTCATCAGCTGTCTGGCTGAGCGCAGTGTAGCCCTTGTTAAACTTCACCGACCTGCCAGAAAGCAGCCAAGTGAGACCAGCACAGATGTTTTACATGGAAACACATCCATGGAGCTGATGGACTGAGGAGCCAGGGAGGAATCCCGCTCCTTCCCAGCCATGCGCTATCCAGGGCCAAGACCAGCTAAGCTCTAGGATACCCAAATAAATCTATAACACCAAATCATCCCCAAAATAAAACAGAAAAGCCCTATATTTTATTATACTGGATGTTCCTGGCCAAACAGAGCTATCAGAATAAGGTTCCCAAACTCCTATTTGTAATCCTCTGAATTTCCCAGCCTCCCCAAGGAAAGCAAAAAAAATACATTTTGGGAACAGAAAAAGAGGATCAGACCTTTTAGGCGCCGGTTTCGGGGCAGTGGGCCCCCCCAGCAGCCCCTGCCTTCGCAGAGCTGCTTTCATCAGCTCCCGCTGCCTCTCTGAAAGCCAAGCACAGGGACAGAGATAAAAATTCCTAAGTGTCCCCCCAAGATCTGTTTTTTGGGTGGCAGGGGTGTTGCAGGTGAGAATGGGGGCAGTGCAGTGCTTTCCACAGGCATCACTATGGGATTTTTAATGTTTTTGTTGGGGGTTTTGTTTACAAAGGTTTTTATCCCACCAAGGAATAAAAGGGCTTTTGGTAACTCCTGCCCTGGCAGAGAGGTGGAAATAACTCCCAAAATCCCAGCAGAGTCCACCAAGCATCATTTACTCAGCTTGGCCTGAATGGAGGGAGGTTTGCTCATGATGTACGGTCCCCTTTTCTCCACCGTATCCGTCCCCTTGTTCAGCCTCTTGTTTTCTGCCCAAATGAGCTGGAAGGAAAAAAAAAAAAAAAAAAAAAAGAGAAAGAAGCACACTCAGCATCTCTCTGTGGGGATGAAGTAACACAGAGTCATCTCAGAGCATCCATTCATTCCTGGGAGCTCAAGGTCAGCTCCCAGACGAGGAGGAGGGAGAGGAAAAGCAATAAGCAGAGCTGGTCGCAGATGAAGGGATTACTTGGGAATGGCAATGCTAAATTAAAAGCATGTGTGGTGACCAAGCAGTTCCTATGCAAGCCCAGCTCCAGCAAAAACACGTGATGGAGGAGATTTAATGAGCAGGTTCATCAAGTAAAAATGTAAGGATAGTTTATTTTAATTTCTCTGCAGGGTTTGACTCGTCAAGCTTCTCCTTTTATCCAGGTATTGTCAAGGGGAGTCAGCACTCCTAATGGCAAGGGGGAAGAAAAACACTCCACAAATATAATAAATAATGGAGAAAATAGAGGGACTATCAGAAAACGGCAGAGGAGAGCTGGTGCAGGAGGGATAGGGAGTTAAAGGAACAAGGCAGAAGACTTGGGCTGGTGATTGGAAAGCAGAGTCAGGATTAGCCTCAGTGTCTTAAAACGGAATTAGCAGGACAGAGCCTTATCGTGGTAATAACCAGGCAGGCAGCAGACCCCCGAGTCCCTCTGGATGTGCCATACCCGTTCCTAGATAGCACGTGCTGTGCTGATACACCGTCCTTGCACTGTCCCTCCGTGCATACACCCCCTCTGCTCCCATACCGCCCCTCTGTGCTCCAGCCCCATACCCACCATGCCCATACCCCATACTGCCCTCACACACACACACACCAGCCCTACATCACCCCCATACCTCCCATGCATTTACCCCACACATGCCCACTCGCCAGCCCCACATGATGCACATACCCCATACCACCCCACAGACATACCCCAGCCCTATACCCCCGCTGCATACCACCCAAACCCGCCGTAACTATACCCTATACTGCCTCACGCTCACCCCCAGCCCCACTAGCACCCCCGTACCCCGCCCGTACCGCCGGGCCCCTCGGCCCGCCGGCTGCGCCCGCAGCGGGACCGGGAGCGGGGCCAGCCCCGGCTCCGCCGCCGCCCGTCGCCATGGCCGCCCGTGGCCCCGCCCCCCGAGCCGCCAGCCAATGGCAGCGCGGGGCTGGCGCGGCTCAGCCAATGGGAGGCGGGCAGGGGACGCGCCCCTCTGGCGCGCATGCGCGGTGGGAGCGCGGGGCCCGCCGAGCGAAGGGAGCGCACCAAGCCTTGCCTTCCCGAGCACCGCCCGTCCAGAGTGAAAATAACACGAAACATCCCTTCTCTCACAGCCCCGACCTCCCCGCCCCTCCCCGGTTCCCCCACCACAACAGATCAGATCCCTTCCCGCTGAGGGCACATCCCTTGCAAATAGGAGACTCCCACTCACCTCTGAAGCTCTGGACATCATCCCAGTGAAATTCCCCGAGGGATGGGAGAACTCTGTCCCTCCCCAAAGCTCTGTGTACAGGAGGGTCACCGTGCCCTCCAGACAGCTCCTCACCTTCCCTTTCCCAGAGCCAGGCGCTCGGGAAGGCCCCGGACACAGGCTTTGCCAAGCAAATAAGGATTTATAAACTCCTAAGGGCACATTCATGGTTTACTTCTTCCTTTTCTCTGGAAAAGCAACAAGAAATAACCACACGAGCCAGAGCTACAATATCGGTCAAACCAGTTTTTCCTTTATTAGGTCCAACCCCACAGCACTTACACTGTGACTCAATAAAGGAAGAAGTTGTTTCAGATAAGATTTAAGGTTTGTGTCTCCAGGTGACTGTGTACAATCAGGTAGCATCAGTAAAACACTCGAGTAATGCACCTGGAACAGAAAAGAACAGAAAAATAAAATAACATAACCAGAGAAACCATTTAAGAAGCAGCCCAATATCTCCACAAAGTTTCCATTAGGTTTCAAATGATTTATTTCTATCTCTTTTACCCTCAAAACCCCATTTAACCACGCTCAGCCCAAAAATGCAGGTACTGCATTCCCAGCACAGCTGTTTCAGTACACCCTAGCACCAAGACATCGTATTCCATGGCAAGGAGGAGGGAATGGACTTAAAAGATCCAGAATTAAGTACTATTTGCAGCAGGCTGACACGTGGTATCTCTATTCTAAACATAATATTTTAAAAAAGAATATGACACTGGTCGTCTCTTGAAGAAACCAAATTAAGAGGCTTCACTTCCATGAGGATTTTTATTTAGGGGTTAATTTTAGTCTTTCCCGGGCAGGTGGGGCTCGTTAGCCCTTAAAGGCAACCCACCTACGTCCTAAGGACCTCGCTGCCACCGTCCAAGCTCGCTTGGCCCCGGCAGATGAACCTTAGGATTAAAGGGTGGGCTCAGTTCCGCGCACACTGTGTCTCACCTAAAAAATCCAATGCGCAGGCTGGAAGGTGGAAAGACCTTCCCCGGATCTTCGCTCGCGAAGACTGGCCATTATTTATTAATTTTAGTCTGGGATTAGAGCACGTCAGGTCTTGCCCATATTCTAT